AGCCTTGAAGCGATCAAAACCAATTCCCTCCCCCGGCCCGCCCCAGGGCTCCCAGCACCCGCTGCTTCTGGTCTGCCCCAGTCACCCAGTGGGGCCAGCCCTGCTCCTGTAGCCATTTGGCAAGCCAAGAGCAGAGGAGGAGATGAATCGAGCATCTTAAAAGCAGCTGGAAACACTTCCCACGGCACTGCCGGACAGCCCCGCTCCCAACCCCTCCTTCCTCCTCTTCAGAGGACGTGTTCCCCTCCATCCCCCCCAAACCAGGGTGGCTTCACCCAGGGGGATGGTGCCAGGTTTGTGCCTGTCCCTGCTGAGGGCAGGAGGCTGAAAGCAGCAGTGGCATCACAATGGTCAGCATCCAGTGATGTTCTGACCATGTCCACATCAGCCCAAGCAGTCCCCCCCTTTATTTAGGGGGGACACAGGAGGGGCTGTTATGTTAGGAAACCCCTTGGAGAGCGGGGGGCCATGCCCAAGCAGCCCTCCACTGGCCCCGGAGCAGCAGCATTTGGAGCAGATCATGAGTGACCAAGTGATTGATTTATAGGGTGCAAGCGCCAGGTCCCGTTGCTGCTCAGCTGGTGGGAAGAGGAAACGGGCGGGAGAAGGGCTCCAGCACCAGCATCTGCAACACCTCGCAGTGAGACCGGAGCTGTGCTTCCTCCCACTCCCCTCCAAGGACCAGGGAGGAATTAAAAATCCATGAGCAGGGATTTTCATTGAGGTCATGGTGAGAAATGCTGCCTGCTCCAGGCAGAGACCTTCCTGCCTGCAGCCGAGGCGAACCGCCCTGCGGTCCGGCATGCAGCAATAGGGACATCAGCCACAGGAGGAAAAGCCCTTCTGCTCCTGCCACCACCCATCCCTTCTCCTGTGCCCTGAATGCAATGGCACAAGGGCACAGCAGTGCTGGACCCATGCCCTGAGGTGGCCACAGCCAGGCCACCCTCCTTCCCTGCCCGTCCACCTGAGCCAGCGAAGGCTGCCAGCAAATGTGCCGGGTGGCCACATCCCCCTGCGCCGCAGTGCTGTGACCCACAGAGCTGGTCCAGGCGGGGCTGCAGACGTGGGGTGCAGAGGTGGGGTGCAGAGGGGCCCTGCTCAGCCCCAGGGCTGCAGCGGGGCTGGCCAGGCCCTGGGCCAGCAGCCCCATTGCTCCCTTTGCCCTTCTTGTCGCTGCCTCCGCTTGCAAACCCTTCCCAGGGCCAAGAGCAGGACTTCAGCATCCCCATGTGGTCAGACAGACCCGAGTCTCCCAGTTCAGGCTTTTCCTTCAAGCCGACGGGCCAGCAGTCACTCAGCTATCTGTCCTGGCCACCAGTGCAGTACAAGGAGAGGCCACGACCTCCTGAAAGCAGATGTGGTCCGACAAAGTGAGACAGGGAGATGGGGGAAGGGGGAGGGGGGGGTGGCCACTCCTTGGGGACAGGGGTGCTTCAGAAGGCGTTAGAGGAGATGAGATGCAATTTCAGCTGCCTGCTGCCTTCCCCAGACACATGAGGAGGCAGAATCCTCATGAGACCCTGCCAAAGGAGAGCTGTGACTCCAGCTCTCAAGTGCATCCGGTGAAGAAGCCGGGCAGATCCAGGCTTCAGCAGCAGCAGGTGCTTCATGCACAGCGCCACGTCCAACAAAACACATTACCTGTAGCACAGGCCATTTCCCAAAATGTGACAGAAGATGGGGGCATTTGGTCAGTACCTGCATCCCAGCGAGCACGCCACAGCCACCAGCTCTGCCTGCTGGTTTTCCAGCCGCCAAGCCATGGAGAGCTCCCGGAGGCAGCACTCCTGTTAGCACAGCTCAGCACACCAGAGAAACAAATACATTTGAAAGCATCTCCCCAGGGCATCCCTCCCTGCCTTATCTTCGAGGACAGAGATCTAAGGGACCACTACTGAAGGCTGATCAGAAGGCAAGGTTTATTCAAACACATACTTCACCCACCCTCTGTTTTCTCCCAGCTCTGCATTGCTCAGGAGAGAGCCCTGCCCTGCTCCTGCCGGGACAGGGAGCGGTGCAGCAGGGTGAGCAAAGCCTGTGGCTGCTGGGGATGGCTGGCTGGCAAACACTGGGAAAGGTCACCGGGCAGGTGGCCTTCGCGTGTTCCTATCCCCGGTGGGAGTCCACAAACCTGGTAAAATATTTACGTGCTGACTCTGACGGGGGCTTTATTTTCCTTCATGCCGTCAGATGCCCTTGGCTGCTCCAAGCCCTTTGCACCAGAGAGCAGGTTTAATCATCTCAGAGCAGGGATGAAGATAGAAAATGTGGATTCCTCCTTTAGGGGGAAAAAAAAAGAGGGGAGGCAAATCTGTCAATTATTAGTGAAGGGAGGACAAGTGGTGTCGGTTGAGATTCACAGCCGTGAGGGTGAAAGGCAGCAAAAAGCCCTCTGTGGGTCTGCACTGTACTGACGGGCAGGATTCGAGAGCCAGGGTGTGGGTTTCAGCCATCCAAATGCACACAGTACTTAAAAAAAATACAGTATTGACAAAAACAGAGTTAAATTATTGCTTCCAAGGAAACAGGACGTACCTGTGCACACACACTCCCATGGGGAGCGGGGCAGGACCAGCAGCACTGAGGAGGAGGGTGCCCGGGAGCCCAGGTCACAGGGCTGCAGGATGTGGTCCCTTCTCAGTGGCCTTCAAACCATCTCTGCCACTTAGCCGTGCCATCCAGGAACATCAGCCTTGCAGCATCACATAGAATTGTAGAATCATAGAATCATTAAGTGCCACATCTACACGTTTTTTGAACAACTCCAGGGATGGTGACTCCATCACCTCTCTGGGCAGCCTTTTCCAATGCTTGACCATGCTTTCAGTAAAGAAATTTTTCCTAATATCCAATCAAAACCTTCCCTGATGCAACTTGAGGCCATTTCTTCTCATCCTATTGCTTGTTACTTGGGAGAAGAGACTGACGCCCACCTCACTGCCCTCTCCTGTCAGGCATTTGTAGGGAGCAATAAGGTCTCCTCGCAACCTCCTTTTCTCCAGACTAAACACCTCCAGTACCCCCAGCCGCTCCCCACCAGCTTTGTGCTCCAAACCCCCCACCAGCTTTGTTGCCCGTCTCGGGACACGCTCCAGTGCCTCAATGTCCTTCTTGGAGGGGCCCAACACTGAACCCAGCATTCGAGGGGCAGCCTTGCCAGTGCCCAGTACAGGGGGACGATCACTGCCCTGGTCCTGCTGGCCACACCATTCCTGATACAAGCCAGGATGCTGTTGGCTGCCTTGGCCACCTGGGCCATCACCAAACCCTGCCAAGGGGCTTTTCCATGCCCCTTCCCACCCCACAGTTCTTTTCCCCAAAAAGACCCATGCATCTGCATGAGATGCTGCTCTGCTCCCCCAACCCTCATCCTAGGGTCAAGTTCAGGCGCGGGAGCATCCAGCAGCAGGAGATGATGTTTGGTTTCACCACAGTTTGGTGGTGGGGAATTTCCCAAAGACCCACAGCCGGTAAGCGATGGCCTGAGGTCGGGGGCAAGAACAGGATGGGGGTAGGAGATCAACCCCTCACTTTGACTGGCAGGATCAGGCAGAAAACACATGAAGAGCATTACAAGAAGGTAAAGGTTTTAGTTCACTACTTGATAGAGATGTGGCAGAATGGGCCTGCGATCAGAGAACTGTACACATGCAGAACTAAAAAGAAACTCACAACAGCCCGGGGCAGAACAAAGCTGAGCCCACACCGAGCTGCACCTCGGCTCCCCGCGTGATGCTGCCGAAGGCACGTATATACATTCCACTGTCTCCTGAAGGGGGACGCCTTTGCAGGGCTGAGCTGGTGGTGTAACCCCTCATACTGCTTTTCCACACTTCTTGTACTTCTGCTGGTGAAAAGGAACCGCTTGCGTTCGCTGCTGCTCCAGCAGCAGAGGGGGCTCAGGGGGGGTGTCCCATGCCATGGCACCATGCGCAGGGTGAACATCTCCACAGACTGATGTACGCGTCCCCCCAACTGCTCCAGAATCTTCTGCAGCGGTGCCTGTAGCCCCCGGAGGTCCCCAAAATGAGGACGGCCCCACAGTAGGTCCCCGGTATCAGGATGGCCCCTCAGCAGGTCCCTGATATGAGGACGGCCCCCGCAGCAGGTCCCCGGTACAAGAAAGGCCCTGCAGGAGGCACCAGCCCGGCTCCGTACCCCCATCCAGGCTCCCCCCCTCAAACCTCACCCTCCCAGGCCCCCAGCTGCAGCCCGCTTGGGAGGGGCACAAGCCACATCATTTCTAAATCAGGATCGGTGCAGCTTCCCCTGGAGGAAACGGCCGTATCGATCATTTTTTTCTTCAGAGGTTCTTTTGAAGCTGCCCAATTCTGAAGTCTGGTCTTCAAACGGGATTAGAAAGCCCCCACGTCTGTGATTTCTGAGCAACCAGATCAGGCTGAGACCTATAAGCGAAGGAAGAAAGCAGCCCTGCCAATACCTGTGCACGCACTCCACCTCACATGGCAGGGCTGACACCAGTAATTTGATTTCTGTAGTAGAGGGCACTCCCGTTCCTGTTCCTTCCACACCCTCTACTAGCTATTAGACTTTCTGGCTCTATTACCCATCCTCACTTCATGGATCTACCACGATGTATGAAAGGTAACAAAAATTCAGGCAGGTTTATGAACAACGAGGAAAAAAAAAAAAAAAAGAGACAGAAAATAAGAATCAATAAAAAGGAACAGTGGTTTTAAATCGTTTATTTTTAAAACATGAAACCCAAGCTGAATAGAAACCACAGAAATTACATTTAGGTTTTTTGTTTAGTATTTGCAAACCAAAAAGTTACAGTAAAAAATAGCTACATTACAATCAATAGAACTACAGAATTAAAAGTAAAGATACAAAAATGGGCTCAATCCTCTTTAACCCTCACAATTTAAAAACATTTTGGGTAAGTGCAGGAACACTTGAAAGAAACTAGCAGGTCCAAAGTTTTAAAAAAAAATTATATATATTTATATATTATATATGTATATAAAGTGGTATGATATACAACCATTATGGTTAAGAAGAAAAAACAGAAAAGTTACAAAAAGGCCAGGTACATGTTCACCATTAGGTTTCTGTGCACAGTGTCCAAGAAAATAAACTTCCCTCTGAATGATGTGAATAAAACTCATGGGGCCTCCCGTTAACAAGGGACCTGAGGCACGCGACGTGACGGCTGGGCAGCTGGACCCAATGCAGAGGACAATGAAGGAAATGAAGCTTTTCTGGGACTTCAGTGGCCTCCTGGGCAGAGGCCACTGGAGAAGTCTGGGTGTGAGATTAGAAGAGGAAGAGGAAGGAAGGAGTTGGGAATTGCATAGTGAGGAGCAACGTGGTATCAAATATGCAAAGCACCTAAGAGCTTCATGCTACAGTTATCCTCTTCAGGAAAGGAATATTTTGAACTTTCTGGTTGTACATCAATTTATGTTCCACTTTGTTCATGCATGCAGCCACAGGGGCTGGGTGGGCACCTGGGAGCTCCAGGCCACCAGTAACCCATCCCCTCTCTCTCCCAGCTGGGCAACACGCTCACCATCACGGCTCGGCAGGAGATCCCACTCCCCCCCTCAAAAGCACAGGTCGCTTCCTAGCCATCTAGGAACTGCTACCAAAACATCCCACACTTCTGCTGGGCCTCCTGGAATGATGAGGGAAGCCATCCATAGCACGCACACAAATAATTTCTAGAAAAGGGGAGTAGGCTGTGATGAAAGAATCCACCTGGTTAAAGATGCAGACTAAGCCTTGTCAGGTCTCTTCTCTCAAGGCATTAGATCTACTCCTTGGTATCTCCCTGGGGGCTTTTCCCCTCCCACCCTGGGACATTCACTGAGTTACACTAACAGACTTGTTGAGCTGGGGAAGACCCTGGCTTCTCCTCGGTTCCCAGGTAGGAAGTACTTCAAAGACAGCTCCTCTCCCTAAGCTAATGTGAAAGCCACCCACTTCATCCACTCCTGAATGGGGTGGGGTGGCTAGAATCAACAAGCCAAGACATTTCTCTCTTCTTCAACGGGCTCAGCATGGTATTTCAGTTGCTGCTAGAAGGAAGAGAAGGTGGGACCAGAAGTGAAGCATGGGTTTATCCACACGGGTACCTGTACCTTGCTCTTACGGGTATCCACCCATTCCCATCTGCTATCATCCTGCAGCACCCAAAGCTCTCATGAGCAATTGCTAAGCAGCCCCCTGAGAAGTGGCTTACTCTCAGAAAGGCCAAACTTTTAATGTATTGTCAGGGAACTGCTATGGAAATCCTAACTTAGGATCACTTAAAACCCCATGCACTGTGTCCCCCTCAAAGCACTCAAATGAACATCCTTGCATCTTGGCTGAGATGACCGTACACGGAAAATTAACACCTATCAAATGGAGAAAACTTAAAAAGGACAGGAGGGGAAGGGAGCACTCCATCCTTCACATTTGGGTACATGGATGCACGCTAAAAATCTTAGCTTGAACCCTTTTGTCAGCACATAAAATGAACTCAGTTTAATAATACATACAGGATACAAACACTACAGTTATATTCCCAAGACAGCACAAGAAATTCACAGCCAAGTCTTGATTCGATTTCCTTTACAATTACAATGCAGTCTTGAACACTGGACACAAGAGTCCAACATGCTATTTACATTTCACATTGTGGAGATGTTTGTGTGCTTGGAAGAGTTCTCAGTTCCAAAAGAAAGTGTCATTCACACATGATGATGCAGTGGAAATAAACCAAGCCAACCAGACAAGCCAATGACCACATTTGTGCTTCTGAAAAAGTAACATGAAGTGTCTTCACCGATGCAGTCACCTTCAACCAGACAAGCTGCCTTCCATTTTGCAGTCAGCGAGGTGTCCAGAGGCCAATCTCATCTCCCCTGAATTCTGGACCCTTTTGCTAGCAACCAGTAACATGAGTAATGTTCCAATAAGGTCAGCTGGGACATACCAAGTGATACGGCCTTGGCATTTTGTCACATTAAAAACAGAGACACAAGGGAAGAGAGAGAAGTCTCTACAGCTTTACCTCCTACAGCTTGAAGAGTTTGGACTCCCTCAACCATGAATGCCATCTAGAACAGATGAGTCTTCGCCAGATAGCACCTGCTGTTCACCCCAGAGGGTGGCACAGAGTCTGGGAGATCTTGGCTTTTGAAAGTCCACTCCTCAGACAAAATGTGACCATATGGATGAGGCTGATTATGTCGCAGCCATAAGAATAGGCAAAGGCCATCTGTTCTTCAGCAGATCTGTTCAGACCAGCCTGCAGAAATGCCACACTGTTGTTCAAGGTTCCAGTAAAAAAAAAAAAAAAGTAGTAATAATAATAATAACAACAAACCAAAAGAAACCCATTTGTCTGTGTTTCCTATCCAGCGCTCTGCACAGCATGCAGCGGGGCAGCAGAGTTCCAGGATGCTTTACAAAAGTGCAATATCCATGTCAAGTAAAGGATGTGCTGGCTGGACAAAGGTACACAGCTCACACCGCAGTCACGTTATGCTGGCCTCCAGAGAGCAAAATGTTATTTCCATAACATTCTTTCCAGTCATATTTTGAAGTCACAGAGCACACATCTCCATATCTGTGCCTTGCTGCAAGCCCCAAACATTGTCAGAAGTTGTTCTGGGTGTTACGAGTGGCCATGCCAGACCTTGGAAAGAAGCAGGTCAAGGTGGCTGCTCCATTAGATGCTGCAAACAAAAAGGCATAGGCTCGCTCCCCCGTTATCCCTGCTGGCTCAAACACCACCACTGTGACAATTTAGATTCAATCCAAAGTGCAGTCACACGCACGTTCAGGATGCATTCTGTATACAGAAAGGTCAATATACAGAAGCATTTGTTTTCACAGGGTTCCCCACACCCTCCAGCCTTCAAAACACTTGCCTTCAATGAGTAGGACTGGCCACAGATTTTTAGGGCAGCTCCCCTAAAATTGATAGTGTAAGTAGCAACCCGGGCACATCCTTGCAAGGAGAGATGATGGCAGAACAACTCAGTCTTAATAAGGATTATATGGCTCTTGCTTCTTTCTTCCAAGTGAGGGGAAGTTCAGTTCCCCCCAGATAGCAGTTGCATGCTTTGGGCCCTGCAAGCTAACCATGCCACATGCTTGCACACCTGGGTCTCCTGGTAGGCTTTAAGACAGAGTGGAAAACCTGGTGCTCACGAGCCAGAGTGTCCCTCCATACCACCTGTGACTACATTTCCCTGCCCTTGTTATTTGATAACAGAGGTATGTTTCAGTGTGAAGCCCATCAAACATGTCTGAAAGGGCGTACTCAGTCCTGAGCAAGAAAATCCTGCTTGCAGAGATTTATGGTGAAGTGTGAAGTTTTTCTCCAAAATCTTCTCTTCCTGTCTGCGTGGCGGTGCCTCCTCCCTGTCTCCCTCACTCCTTTGAATGGTAATAGCTGCCCTACAGCTTCTGCAGCCTATTAGTGGTTTCTATCTTAAGAGGAGTCTCAAAGCTTGCTCTTCCACAGAGCTGGTACCATTTTACAGCAGATACCATCGTGCTAGTTAGCTACCTGCTAGGAGCAATTCCTACCTCACTGCAAGAAGGCAACTGACTTGAGTAAAGGCAGATTGGTAGATTCTGTGCCCCGTACAGCAAACATGGGGTAAGCAGACATCAAGTCTGAACATCACTGAGGTGAAGACACTGCCTCTGCCAATGGCTCAACTCCAGTTTGAGAGACGTTTCCCACTTGATTTACTCTGCCAGTTATTTAATGTAATGCTCAGCAGCTACACTAAGATGCCCCTGCTCAGAGGTAAAAAGACAAAAAGGAACATCGTAGTTACCCTACTGAAAGGGCAGTACTCGACAGTACCTCCCAAGAGGCAGTCTCCTCTTCCAGTAGGAAGCTGTCAGTGCCCTTCAGAGCACTGCTCTTCAGTGGAAAGTACAGCACCAATGGAGGATGTTGCCCTCTGCAGGCACCCAGCTGCCCCTTTGCAACCCTTGTTCTGCCTCATGTCTAGAAAAATGCCTTACACGTGCCTTAATATGGTCAGACAGTGGTTAGCAACGTGCCTTGAAAAACAAAGTGAAATAAAATAGAATAAAATAAAAACCTGTTCTGACAGTCACAATGTTCTCCAGATGTCATTTGGGTTTCTGATTCTGGAACACAGAAGTAGTAGTACTGATGATCTTGTGAGTTTGTTAGGACTGAGGCTCCAAAAACTTCCTTCAATGCCAGTTCAGCAACCCTGTGCTGTAAATTACGATTAAAAAAAAAAAGAAAAGAAAAAGTCCAGGAGTTCACAGGTCACTCCTGCAGGGAGAGCTTGCATTTGCTATAAATCCACTGGTGCTTCCAGGCTCTCTTGCTTTTGCAAGCTGACTGTCCCGTAAGATCTAGCATCAGAGAGCCGAAATTCTTCAGTGCAAAAATACCCCCCCCCTAAAGACTTACAAGTCTTTTCCTGGAAAAATTTGGCACCAAGTGGGTGGCTGGCTCCTGTTTGATCTGTGTGTCAGCCTCGTACAGGCAGCACCCAGAATGCCATCTGCAAGTACCTGGGCTTCCCTGATGGAGCAGAGAAGTCAGGTTCAGAGCAATGGACAGGGTAGTTGATTGGTGCTGGGACCCCCTGCTCCTCCTTGAGAATTCACAGGCTAGATATAGTGGGAAAGAAAAAGACATTTTCTTAATGAATTAAAAAAAAAAAGTAAACCAGGGTAGTGGAATGGTTTGCTCCAGAAGAGCCCCAGGCTCCCAAATTGCAGTGGATATACAGTGACAGCAATGAGGCAGGGGGTTCCCTCCTCCCTCGCACAGGGCACCGGACCAGAGGACTCCCAGAATGCTGTATCGTGCATTGACTCAGCTTTCCCTCGTTGTACGCTAGTCACAGGCACCAAGCCTCTGCTGCTTCCGTGTTTAACAGACTGCTGATTCCATTGCAGAAGTGAAGAAGATCTACCACCATCTTTCACCGCGTCCCTCTGGGGAACTCAAGGGGAAAAAAGGGGGCAGAAGATATTCACCAACTCTTTCTGATAAGCTACTCTGATAAAGCTGGCCCCAAGCAGGTGGACCCAGTTTCTTGCCTGGGTGCTCTCAGTTGCTTGCCTGCATGTGCTTCCTCTCTCGCGCACAACAAGGCAAAGGCTTAAATGCAAAAGGGTTTTCCACTCCAGTGGGCAGGTACCAGGTTGGAGGGGTGGTCTGGATTGGAGCAACAGAAGGAGCTGCACTGGATTTTGGGCAGAACAGCAGGATTGTTCTAAGAGGACAGCACAGGGGCACAGCAGTTGGCACATTGTTTAGTCTGACTGCATGTGTGGGTTTTGTTTGTTTTGTTTTGTTTTTTTTTTTTGCTTTTGCTTTTTCATTTTAATGCACGCTGCCAGCATCTGGACGAGGTTGGTTGGTGGCGAGGTATTTGGCTCTCATACTGGAGGTGTACTAGAGGAAGACAAGACAAAAAAACAAAACAAACAGAAAAGTAAGTAAGAATGACTAATGTAAACACGGAACCACAGATTAGGACCACCTCCCAGCATAAGATGGTCTGTATTTACAGCAAGCATATCAAGGAGCTCCTGCTGGCTTGGTCTGACAAGGGAAGTTTCACAAGCCACTGCATAGTCAAGTCTGAGTAACATACAGCCAGCCTGCTGCAAAGATGTTGGGCAGTGCAGATGGGCTAATGATTTATCCAAGCTCTCGACAGAGAATGGAATCCAATAGTCATCGAGTCGAAAAATGCCACACTTCGCTTGGGAGAAGAGAGGGAAATGGAAATGATGCAGATGTAAAAACCCACCTCACACCTTCATCCTCTCTTAGTCATGTTGTTGCTTTCAACCATGCCAGAAAAGGAGGTTGAAAAGACAAAAGGTGTATACTGCATTTTTACATTGCATTTTATGGCAATGAGGGCATCAGAAGACTGCATGCGTCACAGATGGGCAGCTTGAAAGAAAAGTGTGGAAGAATGAATCTCTGAACAATTTATGCCCAAGAAAGAACAGACCCTGCCAGGCTGGAAACAGGCTGTCATCAAACCAGATGATATTAGCTAACAGTTATCAGATGGGTAATAATCCACTGTGGCTTGGGATCCAACCTGCATACCATGCAGCAGTAGACAAGACCGCAACTTGGAGGTGAGAAGAGAAAGAAAGATGAGAGGTTGTTTTGGTTTGGGGGGTGTGTTTTTTATTTTTATTTTATTTTTTTTATTCTAAGCAAGGTAATCCAAAACAGCTCCCCAAAGCTAAGCTACTGAGGTAGCATATGCCACTCAGCTTTGAATAACGAGCTGAAAAGCATGTAAATAATACCCAGCAGTAAGAACAAAAGACTTTGCCTCTTTATACCAATGTGTTCAATGCCTTCATCATGACCACATTACTACTTCTGGGATTCTGCTACCATGACACTAACAACCAAGCAACGAGGACAGACATTTTATTCCTCTTTTTATACCAGCTGGAGCTTGAATAATTCTGTAATACCCACACCTTACCTCCCAAGAGTGCTCTTCAGCACACTGACTTTTTATCACCTTTAAAACTGAGCCACATAAAATAGCCGGTTAAGCTGGCAAAGAGACAACTGAAAGGCAGTTCCACACCAGGAGGTATGATTTATCTTGCTCACTGGGAAAGAACATTATGAGGTATCTTTAGGCTCTCAAAAGCTCAGCTGTCCAAAGGGGTTTTCAGAGAATTAACAATATTTCATCAGTTTTCCTTCAAAGACTGACCCAGGCTGAACCTCTGCACAATAGAAGACAGAATCCGCTCCTTTGGCAGAGCTGACCCCACCGGCACAAGATGAAGACACCTGTGGCTTATTTGCACGCTCATCTTTTAGTGTCTTCCATAATTGGAAAACTTTCTGCAGAACATGGATCTTAATATACAACTACTGGCCCAGAAATGGCATCTATATTTAGAAGACAAGGTACACCTGTTCTTTCTCTTTTTAAGATGAATTTTTTGTCAGTGAGAAGGAAAAAGGTAGAAAATATCAAGCTGAGCCAGTTTAAGGACTGTATGCTATAGAGTTTATTAAATGTGATTACTGTTTCAGAAATAAAGTTTAGGGCATTATTAAGACATATGAGACTAACCCAACAGGTTCAGAGAGGCTTAGAAGTCAAAGAACTTTCTCATAGAGTAAGTAGGGCACGTTTCAGGTAGTGCAATGCTGAAATTACCAGCCAAACGTCATGCTAAGAAGAGGCCCTTAGAAGAAAAAAATGCATTTGATTGCTCATTTTCCATTTGTATTCTGTATGGTGACATGTGGTAGGAGATGGGTATGAACAGAGAACTTCCAGGCACTAAGGTTTTGTAAGAACCATTTAGAAAAAAAAATATCTCAGATCATGGAAGGTTATTGTGCATCCTCTTGGACACGTCATATAGGTTCAGCACACAACATGCAACATCAACTTTCTTTAGAGCATTAAAATCAAGATGGGCCACTTGAACTGTATTTCAAGGATGTACAAAGTACACCCACTGTGGAGGGAGAAGTCAAAAAGAATTCACTCCTTCCTTCACCAAGAAAACACCCCACATTTTTTTTAGTGCCAAACTAATCAGGAACATGAGATTTGGACAGTCAAGCAAAGGGCATTTTACATTCAAACCTACCTGCAGTCCACCACAAGGAACAAATCAAGACTCAGAGTAGTCAGAGTTAGGGCTGATGTTCTCTCCTTAACTCGGGATTTTTGCACCTTTGTACCTTTTCCCCATTACAGTTTGAGCCAGTTACTCCTTCTGTTAAAGCGTATTTTCAATGGCCATGATAAGTATGACTGAAACCTGGAAGTAGAGAGCTAACACTTCACCGCCCACCTCATAACCAGCACAGCTCTATCAGCATGCACTGGATCTTCAGTCACTGCATTAAACTCCATGTACAAATGCTTTGCTCAGCATGCCGTTGACAGTAGTCCCTCATCCAAGTCCTTCAGTGCATCCTCTGCTGGGAAGCAGAGGAAAGATGCTGTGGAATACACAGATCCCGACATCTGGACGGGCCAGCAGATGAAGATGTATCAGCAGACACTTGCCAGTCACACGGATATGAAACCAAACTATATTATCCATAGTTAAAATAACTAAGCCTTTAGCTCCTTTGAAAAATAATTCTAAGGACTTGAAGCCTGAGCCCAATTCAGAGCTAAGGAGGTCTTGGACTCTGCTCTGAGGTAACCGGGATACAGTGCCTGACACAGCGATAAGGTATACAGTTGCATTTAGTTTCCTTTAAAGAGGAGCTTTCATAGAAGGTTAAAGAACACGCACAATGCAGTCATTCTTCCAGTACTCTCGCTGGAAGTACCCATGGACCTATACAGCCGCATTTACCCTTTCAAAAACAGCACAGAGGACAAGTTTCGACCCATACCTTCACTGTCAGCTACCCTAAGGAGCACCCAAAAGACTTCTTGTTACTGTTTCTCTTGGCAGCTTGTGCTATTCAACACAGCACACCCCTCAGTCACTTACCAGCCAGCTAGGACAACCGCTGCTGATTGCACACAAGTTTATTTTTATGTTTCTCCAAAGGAAAAAAAACAAAAACCGACTCTCCTTCACATTCAGCCTTGTTGAGGGTATAAACTTTCATAGGTATGGTTTGCCAGCACACACTAGGTAGGCGCTTAACACTTATAGCCCGTGTACAAAGGAATCATCGGTTGCAAAAGGAATCATTGGTTGCAAAAAAAAAAAAAAAATTAATGGGAATAATCAGTTAGTTTTAGAGACCATAAATTCTACCAACTCATGTGAACTATGTAGGCCATGAGTACTTCACAGCTAACTGAGCTGTGCTGGGAGATCACTTACCATATGAAACCATGACGCTGAGTATAAACCATTTACTGTTTGTGGTTAAAAACCCCACGTCTATCTCTTCAGCTACCCTGACTTTGATTTCCTGCCAGACACATTCAGGTAATCCAATAAAGACCAAAGCTTCTGGATTCAAGTTCTTAAAGACTGATCCACCTCTCGAATAGCTAGAGCACAGTACACCCACAGGGTTTGGTATCATTGCGTATGGGAGGTACAAGATGCAGGGAAACAGCCAATTCCAGCCAGTGGGTTCCAAATTCAAAGGGCCTTAAGTTTTCCAAGTCAAAAGAACAGAGCTTCTGTTTGTTTTGTTTGTTTTTAAAGTCTTGGAAAGAATGCAATGCCTTTTTCTTAGCCCTGCAGACAGCCACATTAAACTTTGGGTGTGACGTTAGGTAAACAGAAGGCAGTGCAGACTGAGATCAGGTCATGTTTCAGCCCAGTGGAGATTTCAAGCCCCACCAGAATTCTGCCCCCTCCCAAGCAATATTTTATTTCATGGAATAGACCCATCTAACATCGCTACAATACCACCTGCAGGAACCAAAAAGCAGAAAACCCACCATAAGCTGACGCCCCAGAGCAGTCTTTGCAAGATTTAAGACAGAAGAAAATTGTGACCCTTTCAAGGGTGTTAGCAACCATGCTTCAAGACAAGTTTGTTTGTATTCATGCACAATGGCAGAGGGCATCAAGACCCCCGGTTCAGACAAGCACCCTTTGCAGCACGTCACAAGGCAGGGAGACAAACGGCAAGAGGCAGTAAGAATGCAGACCAAGCAGCAACATGACAGAAAGGAATCCAATGCGAGGCTGACCAAAGCCCCAACAAGAAGAGCAGAGAAGAAGGGACAGCAGCTTTATGGACATGTATTTCTGGGAACAGAATGTAAGATACAGGTCATTGATTGCATTAGCCAAAAGCAATGGGCCCTCTGTTCCAACTGGAACCAACACCTTCCAGTTTCTGTGTGACTGTAGTTCCCTTGAAGAAGCACTGCCCTTCACACCAGGTGAGTTGCCTGGTAGCTCTAATTATATCCTATATTCAACCAAGCTAAAAAACTACAAGGCCTAATGCAGACCACCTACTCTTTCTGTAGGCACGTGGCTTTGTCATGGACCACTGCGAGGGAAGAAACACTGGCTATCTTGGAGAACATCAGCAACTACAGCTCATTAAGAATTCAGACAGTGAAATGGTACTAGGAGGGCCCTGTTCACAGAGCCTGTGGGACATGGATGGGATGATTTGGACACACACAGAACAAACAAAACAGTAAAAGGTTTTGAAACAGAATGAAACAGATCTTAGTGCTTATGTCTGGACCCTTAGGGAAGTTGTTTGGGTTTTGGTTTTTTGGGGTTTTTTTGTTTTTGTTTTTTAAACTTGCTCCCTTCTGACTTTAAATGCAAAGATAAAAGGAGAAGCTGCACACAGATCTAATGGGCAATGAAGTAACTCTTCAGGACAGGCCACTGTTACCAGCTAGGATCTTTCAAGAAATTAAAAATCCTACCGAGGAGCTTAAAGCTTGTGGCAGGTAAGTATCAGTGGTTTTGGGCACATGCTGTTATGGCCAGTCAAGACAAACAGAGCAGCAGTAGGGCTCAAGGGAAGCAGAAAGCTGAATTAAGACGAGTCCCAACTGAAAAGCTGCTAGATTGGTTCTCTCTACTTCTAGAAAATGGCTTCTTGTGATGGGAGAACTTGTATCCTGCATTTGGAGGGCAAGGTTAGTTCTACATTCGAGCAGCACTCAGTACTAAGTGTTCAAGCTGTTCTCAAGTGCGGGCTCTGGGTCGAAGCTGCTGTGAGTTAACCTTCGTGAGGCATGGGCACCTGTAACCCTCCCAACACACACCAGAAGCCTTTGGAAGGTTGACACTGCTTCTTGAGTCTGCACCAGAGTAAAACTGATTTTAATTTTAACCCTTGGCAGGAGGGAATGGGGTGGGAGGTGCAGAGGGAAGGAATGTGAAGAAATAAAAGGCACTGGCCTGGGATAAACAGTGCAGGGATGAAGGGAGTGGTTGGGAGTGGAGAAGGGGTTGAGCAAGAAGGACCTTTTTTCCAGTACCTGTTCCATTTGCGGGCGCTGTTACCAGTATGTCCGTGCACTGTCCGAGGGCTTAAGCTGCCAGCTCATATGGCTGCTACTGTCCATGGCAGCCAAATACAACTGTGATGACGCAAGAAAGAGAGAGAAAAAGAGAGTGCAGCCTCAACGTGCATGAAAAACACAGTGCAAGCAAGTGAAACGCCGTGGTGTGTGTCAGCGACAAGGTGGGCTCTACAACCCTATGGGAATAGCCCTGTGGCAAGAAGGAGAAAACAGAAGGAATGAGAGAAGGGAAAAGAACAAAAACAAACAAACAAAAAGCCAGGAAAAGTAAACGGACAAACAATGCAGCAGGATCATCACATCTTAGTTTTCACCATCTGTTCACAGAAAGCTAAATGGAATATATCAGCTCTGTCCGCCCACTGGACATAACCCATTTGGATGGCTATCCCCCTCTCCTCCCTCCCCAAGAGAGGTAGGGACATATGCATTGGCATTCCCTTTTTTATCTCTCTCCTCACACAGATGATATGCTACAAAAACTTACAATTTCTTCTGCCTCAGTATGGTCTCAGCCACCTGCTACGGAGAGCTGCAAATATCAAAATCCCAGAAAAGCCCCCTTCCCTGCTGCCTGCCAATATGAGAGTAGACAGTATTTTTCTTCTCTCCACTGCCCGTCTACTATGTCCCTCCAGAAAACACATTTATCCTATAGCCTGCTCCTTGCCCCACCTAGGGAGATGCTCCCTGTGCTCTCCGCCCCCAGCTCCTGCACTTCCCTACAGCCCAAATTGATGGCTGCCAAGTCAAGTTACCCTGAAAAAAATCTCTCCTCTTTATTGACTCTCAGAAACCAGCCTAAGGCACCAGGAGTCAGATTCCCCCGCAGGGTATTAATGCAACCAGCTACTGAAGAACCGGGGAACTTCTTGCATAACTGAAGCCCCTGCGGAAAGGAGCGCGCTTTCTCTAAAGCAAAAGAGCTATAGGGGAAGGGGAAGCAGGACCTGAGTCTACAGATGTTGAAGAACATATGCCTTGGCAGTGCCAGAGGGACAGTGCTCCTCCTACAAGAGGTAACACCACTGGTAAAGCATTTGCCACGCTCTACTGTGTGCGGCACATCAGGTCTTGTTCTGAGGACCACCTTGCTGCTGAGAGCACATAATGCTACCAGAGCTTGCGATCAGAGTGCCACTAGGAATCAGGAAAAACCCTTTGTGAAGGTTGAAAGAGGTCTGGCCAAGTACAGAGACAAGGATCAGCTCTCCACTTTTCCGCTTGCTCTACAGCAAGATGAACTGGTCCTTTTGAAGTGAAAACATGAATGTGATGTCCTCTTTTCCACCACAATTCCTACTCCTTCATCCTCCAACCTCCTCTTCCTTCCCTTCCCGTGAATTTCAACCATGCACCGCATTTACTTTACCTATACCTGAAGACTGGTTGATTATTAAGCATGCTACTACTCATCCTCTGTAACCACACCACCAACTTAGTGAGCACTGCGATGTCATGTTCTCCGAGTTCTGGCATAAGTAAGGATCCAGTGAAGAAGGGCAAGATTCATCTAGTTCTTACACAGACATGAAGGCAAGCCCATGTTTTATCCAGCATACAGAAATGGCTATGAGGCCACTCCAAATACCAAAACCTTCCATGAAAGTTGGTTGTTTTTTTTTTTTTTCCTCCATAGGAAAATAAATACAAAAACAGATTCTAAAGAAAGTAAAACAGTTGTGAAAGAAAGATTTAAAAAAAAACTCTCAACAAAAAAAATAATACAGGTTTCATCCTACCATCTCTTTAGGGCAGATTAAGGAGAGAGGTTCAGCGATAACTCTGAATTGACTGTTTAAACAAGTTTCTTTTTAAACTTGAATTACCAATGCCACAGATAGCAAGTACACTGCAAAAAAAAATACTCAGATAGAAAGATACCAAGATACTCATGCACTTCAGTGGTGACAGGACTGGGCCCATAGGATTACCAGTGTTAACAGATTGAGTTTTATTCTTTTTATGTGCAGTGTCCAAAGTAGCATAGCAGGGTTTTCTTCTCCATGGCAGGTTAGACATGGCTTGTCTGTTCAAAATGCTGCCATTTATGGGCCAGATCCTGTATTTAGCTGCACAATCAGCTCCCTTGAGAGTATACAGGAGTGGTAAACGTGTATTCCCCAAAGTTGCCAGAGCAGAGAGGAGCAGTAAAGAGAGACTTACTGAGGGAGGTGGGGACTCCCGGCCAATGAGCGGGGTATTCTCGCAACGGGGGTTCTGGAAATTTGCATTCTGGCTCCTAGGAAAGGAAGACACACATGGTAACGGGGGGTACATGCCATGCTTGCCTGAGGAAGGTCTCTGACAGTGACATGGGACAGAGCATATGCACCCCCAGAACTACTGTATTGGGTCAATCTCCCTCAAAGCTTTTCTTACAGGCCAGGTGGATCTCCTTTTTCAGACACAGGCACAAAACTAGCATTATTTTCCTCAGATTAAGCACTATCTTTACACTCTTACTCAGAAGGGCCCACACTGAATCATGTCAAGCGATTTAAAAATAGGTCTGTGTGAAAATCTGCCTCCCTGCAGTGCCAGAACTGCCAAGCTGCAGAAATGGAGATAAAATGAGGACAAAGTCTAAGGGGAAGAACAAAATTACGTGCCAGCCTAAAAAAGGTGGGCCCTGAAGGTAGTCCAAGTGTGATCAGGGTTAGGTACTTCTGGAGAAAGCTCTGAAGATCCCACCTGGACTAGGTAGCTCTGGACTGCAACAGATGTCAGAGCCAACTTCAAATACTCTGGAAGGACAGAGCCTGCAGGTTTTGTCTTGGCTCTGTCTCTCAGGAGGCTTAAAATCTTCTGGCAAAACTGGTCTGTCTGAAGAATGAAGTCTTCTGGTGATCAGAATCACTGTGTAATAAGGAGCCCAGACAATACTTTCCTACTTCTTTTCTCTAGACAGACTTCTAAATCCTGCAGGACAAAGCTGTTCACATTTTGGAGGATGCTGTCTAATACAACTCTACTGCAGCACTTTTAAGCTATTCCCTTCTCCCCATAGATACCAATCAGAAAACACACCTTCTGATACTTTGGAAAAAATCCTTCATCCCTTTCTACTGCCTGATCGAAAGCGCCAGCCTCGCAGCACTTAGCAACAACAGAAATCAGAGTGAAGCAACCTGGACAAGCTGCAATACAGCCTTCTTGTCGGGATACTCACATGTACTCTGTGACGGGAGCATTGCTGACTGTGTGTGCTGCTGCTGGAATGCTGGTCTCACTGCCATAACTACTCCCACAGCTATAGAGGCTGGGCATGTGCACTCTGTAAAGATTATCGTGTGTTTGTCTACTCCCTTGAGCAGCTGATTCTTCTTCCCCATCATCATCTGAGCTTCTGCAAGAAGGAGAAAAAGTTCCTCCTAGAACCCTACAATTACCCCACTTGTGGGGTTTGCAGGAAACCATGGTAATCCTAGGAACCTCCCAACCATCTTCCACACCTCCACATTTGTACCCATTTGGGATGCCTCAGGGCGGCAGTGTCAAACACAGCCTACACCACAGTGACTCAGACCTCCCACAGATACCATCTGGACTTTTACACTGCGTGATCCCCTACAGTCTCCCCACAGTCTTCTCTCAAGGCTTGGCAGACAGCACAGTTCTGCAACTGCCCAGTCATACAACTAAAGGATGGACGCACATCCTGAAATATATAGCACTTGAAAAAAAAAAAAAAAAAAAAAAAAAAAAGAAAGAGAGAGAGAGAGAGAGGTGCAGTGGGGATGTAGCGCTATGCACCCCACAGAAAGCATCCTTCAAAACTGCAATCTGTGTCCTTCTATTTCTTGTAGCCATGTCCAAAGAGCTTTCAAGGATAAGACTCTGCAGACTTCTCTGAACTCCCATTCTGGCTACAAAGGGTCTGCTTCAGCTTCCAGCAAAATCTCAGAAGTCTTTACAGAGACTAAGTTGCAACATTTGTCTTTAAAGGCTTTATCTTCTCAAAAATGCCAGGATTTTAAATCAATTTTAATGCAGAGCAGAGCTGTTTGCCAGCTGGTTCCTTTCCCCATTCCCATAGTATTCGCTTGTCCCTCCTATATAACATACACTGCTATTATATCTCACTAATTATGGGAAGAAGCACCAAGGTTTGAAATATATTTTAGCAACGTTTGACAAAGCTAGTAAAAGGTTCTACAGGAAGCACTTTGTTGCTGGGGGAGACAGCATGGACATCACTAGAACATCCCAAACATCACCTGCAGCTTCTGTACCACAAGGTGGCACTGAAGATTTATTCAGGGAATTGCAACCTGCACAGTCTCTTACAGGCTCTAAGTATGACATCCTCCACCTCCCAGAGGGAGGCAGAGGAAGAAATGGTGCTCCGGGGAACATAAGAGGGAATCCTCCAGTCCACAGCAGCAGCCTGAGCCTGCTGGGGTTGGCAGGGCAGGCAGCAGCCCACATGGAAGGCAGCACAAGAGGCAACACTGCATAAACCTTTCTCTTTACAACGGGCAGACTACTATTCTCTTCTCGATAACGCTTCTGCAGCTGCTTGTGGAAGAGGTAAGGAAACCAGCCATTTTCTTAAGTGCTATTCTGACGCATTTCCCAAGGCTTTCTCTGTGGGCACTGCAGGCCTGGCAGGCTCTGGCTTCCCGCTGTTGTTCAGGATGTTCCATTTTACTTTGAACCTTGAGCCTGGGCTTAGACCACAAAAAGTATGTTTCAGGATGACAGAAGAGAATTTGCTGCACAGCCTACTGCTCTTCTGCAAGAACAGAAAACTCAAGGCTACTTGTACAATAGCTGCATGTGGTACAACAGCCCATCAGTGAAACAAAGGTTTGCTCAAGACTTACTGGTCAGCCTGGTTACTGTCATTAACACTAGTTCCAAACAACTCTGCTGCTAGAGGATTGCCATCAGTTTGCAAGTGTCTCATCTGCCCATGCTCTTGCCAGCAAGACAGTTCCCGGTTTCTATTAGTTATGCAAGTCAGTCGCCCCAGCGTGAGCAAAGCCAAGAAAGGCAAGTGTGAACTGCTTCTCATTCCAATCCTCTTCCCCATGCTAGAACAAATACCTCAAAGCAATGCAAGAGAGTTGGTACTTCACAGAGATGGCACATAGTTCAAGCATTACCTCTCTCTAGAGGTATAATCATTCAGCCCTGACTTGACTCATTGTCCTACAGTGTACTGAATACTCTGCACACATAGTATCCCAGTGCAACAAGGTTCAGATGTAAATATTAACCACAGCCAGAGCAAAAGCCAATAGTTTTTTTTTCTGTTGGACCTGTACTTATAGAGCTTTATCCTTCACACTCCTGAGATTATACAGGAAAGAGCTCCATATGTTCATGGGCACAAATCCAATAGCTAGTCTTCATTAGGAAAGAACTCTACAACACTACAGGATCTAAACCCTCTCTATACCTCTTTTGCTGCCAAGTGTGTGGGACACTGCACACAATGGAACTGAACATGAGGGCTGTGACGAAGGAGAAGAGAACCAGGTAGATGAGGCCTTCCACTCCATCGTAGCAAAAGCCCGTCAAAGCCTGGACGTAATCCTGGAAAGAAATGAGCAGAGTTTCCTGATCACCAGAGAGTTAACATTGAGCTCTAACTCAAAAGCCCTTCCCCTGGACTACATTCTCTGAAACAACTTACAAGATTGTAGTCCCTTTTCCAGAGCATACTTCTATTTTAATTTTGGGGACCTCAAGTGTTTTCATAACTGATCTTAACCCTTATTTCCCCTCATAAAGCCCAACTCGGATATAGATGTGGGAATACTTTCAACCCCACACAGTAAGAGTTTAAAAAAAAAAAAAAAAGCAAGAAAAAAGCCAAGACAAATGTATCCACTCAGCTTAAGATACCACATTTTTCATTAAGCTTCCCAGCTCCCTCACTATGTCCCATTGCCCAAGAACACAAGCATGGAGACTCTCTTTCTCTGCCTTCAGAGATGCCTCCAGGGCAACAGTTAGGCCATGGTATACTGCAGCTGTAATACATTCCATTGCATGGGAAAGGCAACAAGCTACGTGCTATGGAAAAAAAAAACCAAAACCTGAAGGCCCCTGAAACCTTAGGGCTGCAGCTTGTACATGTATAAAGGCATGTTATCTAGTTTCCTATGTTGATCTTTAAACAGAAAGCTAACTTGATCCAAATTCCCATTCTCCTTTCTGCTGGAGTCGGTCAGTAAAAGCTGTCGTAAACTGTTTTAGCACACCAGAGATTTGAAACTCCAAAATAATCAGTCACTACAGTCTCTACACCCCCTTTGTTCTTTCTTAGCTCAAGCGCGGTTACTGAGTACTCACCAAATGCAGACTCCGACAGTCTACTAAAGCTGTCAGTTGCTGCAAGTTGATCTCTGTTGAATTTAAAACCTCCTGGATCCGAGTAAGATACTCCTGTAAGCAACAAGCTAGCAATTACAGCAAGGAAATGGCTTAGCAGGAGCTGATCTCAGGCTTTGTACAAGGGTAAGGGAAGCCAGAAAGCACAGGGAGAGCAAACTTGAGGAGAATTACCTTGGAGGTGGGGTGCTCCCTGCTTGCTGACCTCATGAGCTCTGTAACATCATCCTGCATTTCCACCAGAGCCTTGTGACTTCCTGACAGCTTCTGCTCAACACAAAACATGCAATGTTTCAGCAATTCAAGCCACATGAACCAACAGAACTCCTGGAAAGTAAGACTTAAATCCTGCTCCCAAATACCAAAGCATCATCTGTATGAACAGTACAAGTTAATGATGTCTCAACTGACATGGGTGCAGCTGCAATAGGATCAAGTTTGACTTTTACCAACCTGGAATAAGTACAGACAGAAGAAGAGGGGAAGGGAAGAACCAAAAGAGAAAAAAACCAAAACAAAACAAATCCACATACACACACACAAAAACCATACACACAGCTGGGGCCAGCTCCAGGACAGAGGGGAAGGAGAAAGAAAAGACACAAAGAACTCATGTTCTCACCGCAGACCACAGCAGTGGATTTTTCTACTAAATCAGATGGCTGAGAAAGACTTAATGTTAACACTACAAGTTGTTTGTATTGGGGTGCAAGCCTTTGCATCCCATTAAAGCATCCATGGGAATTTCACATGCAACGGCACGTCAGAGTATACTGAGCAACCAGAAATGCAACAGATGGCAACGGTGCATCATACCACAGCTTGAAGTGTTCTTACCCCACCCTTTAAAACAGAGGAAGACGAGACTTAAAAATTCCTAAATATAAATGGTGAAGCAGCTGGTATCTGCCAAACGGTGGGTGGTGTGGGTTCATTCTGGCCTCTGATACATAAGACAAAGTTTGGGATGGGCCCAGGTGCTGTTCCTCAGCCCCCACACAAAAGAATAATGACTCACATTTATACCTCAGGATACAAACCCTTCCACATCCAAGGGATTTAAGAGGCGTATGTGAGAATCACTCCCTCACCCACAGAAATGGCTGCATTTTGGGAGTGGAGTGTTGCCACTGTTTAACCCAAAAGAACCCACAAGAAGAGATTCAAAGCAGGATATATGTAGTTTCACACCCTGGTATTAATTGTGGGTGCTCTGTCTCCATGTTGCTGCCCTTAGAAGATGGCCATATAAACAGAGGTACTACAAACAAAGCCATGGTCCTCACCACATCACACATGGGCCTCTAAGAGGGCATCCTGGACCTGAAGCTATGCAGGTAGTGACAAAGGTGGAAAAAGCTGCTCACTAAATCACAGTGCCACCTCTTCCACAGCTGGAAAGTAGCTGCTAAAGCTTTACCAACAGATGGAGTGCTCTAAAGCAACTTGCTTCATGCTGGCATCACAAGCCTTTAACCTATACCCTGCAGGATGCTGAGAAAGGGTAAAGGGAGGTAGGATGCTTACACTCACCTGCTGGAAAGGGTTGGGGTATCCAGCACTACAGGTTATGTAATAGCGAAGAGTATCTACAAATACAAAAGAAAAGAAAGTAATTCTAAATACACTGTTCCAGCTTCGCAGTATTTTATGACTTCCACAAGGGAGGTGTTAAGTTCTGAAAGCAATACACAGAATGAAAATGCAATATAAATGGAAATACTTCCTTGTCTCCACGTAGGATTACAGTGCATGGATGGCACTAGAGAAAGGGATTTAACCTGCCTTTCGGGAGAGAAAAAAAAAGATTTGCTTTTTTTGGTGGGGGGCATTGGGGTTTGGTTTGTTTGGGTTTTTTTGAATACTGCAAGGCACAGGGCTGTGCTGCTTATATAGTTAGGTGAGCCATCAAAAAAGTTTTATTCAGAAGTCAGCACTATCTGCAGTATACCCGTAAGACCAGACCTTAGCCCTGAAGTCTTCCAACCAGATGTTTAATGCAGCTTCCAAGTGTCAAAATACCATTCTATGGTCACTGAAAGCAACCAGAGGTACAGACTGCTGCCTAGGGGACATAGCAAAGAGACAACTCAACTTTCAGCCAATTCAGTTCACAAGCCACAAAACCTTAGCACAGAAGAGGTAGTAGTGGTGATATAAACACATGCTACCAAAAATACCCGTGGAAGCACACCATTGCACCAAAGACAGTGCAGATAAACATCCCTACGCTATTACACAAAGCTGAATGTACTGCTTCCTAAGTGTACAAGTTCAAGTGTTAAAAAAAAAAAAAAAAAAAAAAAAACCCTCTTCACACCTGATTCTTCTACCACATTCAGGGAGAGACTGGTTTTAGGCAGTGTTCTGCAGGAGAACATAAGAAAGCCCCTCTTCATTCAAGAAAATCACAATTTTCAGTAATATTTCCTAAAAATGGTATCACTTTGAAAGCAAGAGAGGAAATGGATGGAAAACAGCAAGTTCTTGTCTTTCTGACGCGTACTAGGGATGAACAAGTAAATAGTCGTCTGTTTTCTGATGGATGTCACTTGCATGCAATTAGATTTTAATTAGATGCTTTAATTAGACTAACTAAAAGAGCATATGTCATTTGTTTTGCATCCTTCTTTTGACTTATGTGAAAAAAATTATTTTTGGTATTGAGTCAATACTGCAGACTTGATCAGGAAACAAAGCTCTCACCATGTATTAGGATACCAGCAATATATTTGTTCAAGGGACCTCAGATCATTTGCTGGTAACATCCCAAAAGTTAGTCTTAATACTGAGTAGCTCTGTCAGTAATCGCAGTACAGTGAAGATGTAGTGATAAGCTTCCAGATAAGGCTGTTACAGTGCTCTGCTAGCAGCATTACCCATTTCCAGGTTTGAAGATACAGTTTTATTTCTCCTTAATCGGAGGCGTATGAAACCAGCCTGGTGCCCTCATGAGCCCTCCATAATACTACACCAACCACCAGCACGCACAAGTTACCAAGTATCAGGCTTTCCCCTGCCATTCTCAATAACGCTATTGAGGGAGGGAACTCTGAAAGACCAGATCATCCAAATACCTTTAGATTATTTCTCAAACATTTACAGTTCCTCTTCAGATGAATTGGAGTGCATCAGCTCAGCAAAATCAAGGGTGAAGTTGGCTCAGTAAAGACGACAAAAGCCCCAAAACTCTGCATTTCCCTCCCCACTAGCATCCTTTTCTCCATTCCTTTTCATCTTCTGCCCATGTCTTGCAGTAACACATATTCCAGACTGCAAAGGTATTCTAATCAGTCCCAACTCAGAAATCAGTAAACTGCACAAACCACAAGTGAGTGGAGCTTGCGAAGGAAGCAGACCTGACTGTATCCTGACTCTGCCACGCTTCCCATAAATATTGAATGCACCTTTTGGCAAGCCAACACACTGGAGACCAAGTGGTACAACACAGACTGTCAGCTCCTGCACACTGGCAATGCAACCTGACAGCTGTTATTTATAATTCATTAGCCTACTTTGGGGCAGATTCTGCCAGCTGCTCCATTGCCCCCCCCCAGCTCTTTCTCTAGGATGACTTACATCTCCCCAGCCAAGCCTCTAAACAGCAATTACCAAAATCTGGGCAGATAAATGGGCAGCAAGAACTGCTTTGAGTGCCTCACTTTGGGCAGACCACAGAAACGACTGTCCACAACTACTGAGCCAAGGAAAGGACTGCTCCTCCCAGGCTCATAAATCACGCTCAACGGCTATGGAAAAATGGATGAAAATGCACCTGCACTGAGGGAACAGTGTAGCAAGAACAATCCACAGCATCACACATGGTGACCCAAAGGAGCTGTGATCCTGTCACCTGTTTATTTGAAACCAACAAACCACTAGAAGTTTCTCTTAGGCTCCCACAGTGGTATCAAGTTTGCATCTGTAACATGCTTTAGGAGAACCTGCTTTAGCAGGGAGGTTGGACTAGACGATCTCCCGAGGTCCCTTCCAACCCTTGCGATGCTGAGATTCTGTGATCCCCTTTGTAGGTGCATTAAGTTGCATGATACACCGCTAATACGTTAAACTCCAGAAACGTTTCTTCAGGGCCTTCTGGATCATCCCTGGTGGGCAGATGACAGATGAGAGTTCCTGATATCATCATAGTTTGCCGCTTGTAAGCCCAGGATAAAGCCTGCTGGTTCCAAGTGAAGCGAAAAGTAGTACAGTGAAGTAAGTGCTTCCCTTCCTTCACCCTGGAAGGCAGGATCAACAAGGCTTCACCGCGGAGTGCTGGCTTTGCAGCTGACAAGTGTGACACCGTACATAAAACGTGCTTTCCAAAATAGCAAAGCCAGCAGGAGCAGCTTTCCCCTGCACTGAACCCAGTGTGCTAATAGCTGTGGTGCTTTAAAGCTGAAGCTACAATAGGCAGTGAAGCTGCTTTAAAGAGATCCTGCGCTGCAAAGCCTGGAAATTAAGAGGAGCATGACCCCTGCCTCTCTACCACCAGGCTGGGAAAGAGGAAAGAGCAGCAGGCACCTTCACCAGTTTTAAAATTGGTGGAAGCTATCCTGTACAACACCAAACCTCAAATTTCTGTCCAGAAAGCAGCTATACTAACCCATTATTTGCACTCTGCTAACAGCTCTAAGCAATTTCTTTCTATAATTATCTTTCCGATGCATTTTCCTCACAAGGAAAATTCCTGAAGGTTGGATCTGATTTTTGAAGCTGGCCTTTAGGCGATCTAGTTTATAGGAGAAGGGTTAGGCAGGGTCACATCTGCAGCTGCCTATGCCTGCTGTTGCTAGCAGCAATCCTCCCGACCCACTCTCTTAGTGCACAGGCAGTGTGGGAGCAGAAGGCAAGGAAGGGAACTACCCAAAATGCTTTATTTTTGCAAAGTCTGTTTTTCCTAGAAAGGAAAGTAGAACTGCCTACTAAAGACAGCTTCAGCTGCTAGAACTACTTATTGCTTCTGCAACCATGGAGACTTACTATTCACTTCAAAGCCCAGCCGAAACGCAAAACTGGCATTATGCACCCGCCAAAAGGCAGCAAGAAGGTCTGTAGGGTAAAGAGCAATCAGAAAAAAAAAAAAAAAAAGAGATCCTAGTTAAAAAAAAATCCTCACACCTAGAACAGCTTTTCCCAGCCCTTCTTCATCTCTGCTTGAGCATTCTCTAAGTAGCTTGCATTTTACATATACGCCCAGATGAGACACTCTCTGTGGGTTCAGTCATCAGAGAAAGTTGAAGTATATTGCCTGTGATGTCAAAAGATGACGACTCTTCTGGCCAGATTTTCTGGCCCAGATAACATGTTCACCACCAGGAGTTTTGGTTCCCTAAGGCAACAGTCTCACAGGAAAGGGAAGGATCTGCATAACATTTGTATTTCTCTCATATATGCCACTCGTACTGGTGAAATCAGTCACTGCCAGCCTTCAGCAAAGAGCCTGTAGCCATCCCACATGCCCTCCGCTCAACTTTCTGCTAATCAGGAGGCCAACAAAACCATGCTGCAAAACACAGCTTCTCAACACAGACATCAGCTCAGCAGGATTCCTGAGAGCGCTTCTTAGGGCAAACTCTTTTCTGCAGTGCCTGTTTGTAATAACTGTGCAACCACCACATGCCCCACGTGAGGTTTTGTCCCGACCTTACTTCTAGAGGGGAAAGGTGGTGTGATCGTCCTCCAGGTAGTTCAGCTCTGAGCTTCTAAGATGAGAGTGAATCCATGAGAGGCCAATTAGGAGGCGGCACGCGACACGAACGCATTCTGCTTATATCTGAGCAGCTAAGTCGCAGCATCCAGCCTGACCAACTTGGCTGGACCGGAGGTAAAAGGCTCCATCATCCATCCCCTTAGGTTTACAGTTCCTTCAGATGAAGCGAGTGGCTGTTCACCATGCAGATTTCTAGTAAGAGAATCTGGAGAAAGCTCTTCCTGTTGTTTAGACAGATTGTGCCTTTTTATTTAATTTTATGCAGTAAGTCATCTGATAACAACATAATATCAGTGAAAAAGAATGAGACTTGAAGATGGCCTCCTGCTTTGAAAATAAACATCTTGGCTGCACCAAGTCTTTTTACTAGCAGCAGGAGCCCATTATACAGCCACTGTTCAGCTCCATTGGCTTTATCTAAATTAATGAATACTGGACGAGTTAGGCACATGTATCAGCCTCTTCTGCAAAATGATTTAAGTCTCTCCTTCTCCAGGAAATCTGCATTAAGGCTCTTTGCCCCCCATTCCCTCTCCTTTTTTTAATGCAGTGCATTTTATCTACAAAACAAGGACATCTCTTCTCCAGCTAAAAACATGACAACAATAATAATGCACTTAATCAGATTATTCTCAGCTCCATTAATTCTATTTAGATTTGCAAACAGCAATTAATATACAAACAGGAATATTAACACACTAGTTGCCCAGTACCCAACACAGTTATTTTTCTGTGAAAACTACTATAACCACCACCAACAAAAAAGCATTGCAAATATGCAAACCTAGATGACTCAGCCTTAGTCTGAATGCCAGAGCATAGGGCTGGGAATATTACAACACATTATACTTAAGAACAACTAAAAGTAGTGATTAAATGGAAAAATTGATCCAGCACTACAAAGCTTCTTAAGATGACTTGTTGGTTCTTACATCCTTAAAAACAGATGGCAGCACCTAGTCCAGTGTGCCATACCCCAGCACTGGCCAAAAGCAGACACCTAGGCAAGACTGGAAACATAAGTGCCCTCTCAGTCCAACTTCAGCTCAAGTGGTTCTCAAGGTAGATGCGATTCCTACATATAATGGTGACTCCCAAAGGATTCTTCTTTCATGGACTACCTGAGCCCCTCCATAGACTCACACCCTCTCTTAGTCATCTCTTTTCTGAACTGAAAAATTCATGGTCAGATATGCTCTGGCGAAACTAGCTGGAGCAATCTTAAAAGTGTTTCTGCCTCATCTGTCTATACTGCTGTTAACATCAGAGACCGCCTCCCACAAAGCAGAGGCAGCAAACGCAGAGTGTGGAGGGTCCATGCACTAGAATTGGGAGCCTTCAAACAGAGCAGCTTCCTCCGAAACAACAGCATCAATGCTGGCTCCCAGCTGCCTGCCCTGCCTCCTCAAGTTCACCACTCTTGTATAAATGGCTCAACTGATCACAAAGCAGCTGCTACAGTTTACAACCAAGGATATTAATAGATACCAACACTTATTTCAGACTTTTAAAGATGTTTTTAAGGAGCCATTATTGGGATTGAGCAATTATTCAAAGCATCATTGAGCAGTGCCACACTGCAGTCCTTGTGTTGCGATTTTCCTTCCTGCTCAGGTGCGCGGGATGGTCCCAGCATCGGGGACCAAGAGCTATTTCTGTAGCTTCCTGATCACAAACTATGACACAGTAGTGAAAATCCACATGGGAAGGCAGAACATTCGATCATCTCCCAACCAGCTGCCTAGTGAGATGGCAGGCTCAGAAGTTAGACAGATTTCCTTCTGAAAAAAGGAAGAGGCGCTCACGAACACTCAACGGCTGCCTAACAGCAGGGAGCTGACACACCAGCAACCCACGGAAGGGGCCACCCTTCCAACTCAAGCCTGTGGCAACACCTGGTCTTCCTCCTCTTCAGCATTTCGCTTAGACCCATTCACTGGTATTTATGGAGCCTTAACAACTGTTGTAACTGATGGTGCTGCCAGAACAGAGCCTGATTTCACCCGGGGGAGCTGACTGTCTCTGCTGGGGGAAGCAGGAGGAGGGACAGGAATGTCAGTCCTGCACTCACCGTTAGTGTCCAAATGCATGATACTGATTAAAGAAAAACTGCAGGAGCCAAGCAGACAAGGACAACTGAAATGGAGTAGCAGCACAAAGGGGCATTTCTTCTGTTTCCCAGGGTCAATCTAATTGTTACCAAACATGCTCCAGAGGTGATTTGGGTTACCAAATTATTACAGGCACAGCTGGCGTTAGCATCAGATATTTCCTCTTGGCCTCACTGACCTGTTTGTCTCCTTGAACAACTAGGAGACTAACTTTGCACCTGAAGCCACATCTTTGTCACCTCCACAGCCAAGAGAGGATTTTCATCTTGTGCAGTGTTAAGCACTCATTCTCTTCCCTTATTGCATTTCTCTGTAACAAAGACCCTTCTGTATTGAGCTGCCTGGCTCTATCCTCTCCTTCCCAGGAAATCAATAAATAAGGCATTCCAAAAATAAGCTGTAGGGTGGTAACATCAACCTGCACATACTCTTCTAGACTACATTCTGCCTCCAGACATAAACATTTCTTATTGCTTCTAATCCCTGCGTCCTCAGCCATAGCTACATACCTAATTCCCTACCAGTTGCACAGTAAGGGGCAGCATTTGGCTAAGCACGTGGCCATACATTAGACCTTCTATACACAAGGCAAAAATTCTCTGATTCCACTAAATAAGAACCAGGAAAACCCCACATTGTTGTTCTTTCAGATCACTGTCATTAGTTATTTGTGTTTTATCATACACAGAACTATACAGAGGAACTATCAGGGGGAGATAAAGTAGGAGAAAAGAAGAGTTAACTTTGTTATCCAAGCAGGAAACTCAGTCCTGAAAAATACTTTTCCTTTTTAGCACTTATGATATCTCTGCTGGGAGGCACCCAACCACTTTTTTGTTAAGCCACAGTTCTGAACCACTTTTGTCTCCCAGAGGTCCAAATTGGAGGCACCCTTCATCTCATCAACCACTTCAGTCTAAATTAGGAGCAAACAACCCAAAATCCATCAGTGCTTCAGCTGGATGCCACTGTGGTGCAGGCATATTGCTTTAAGTGGAACAGGATAAACAAAGCAGTGAAAATTCTGCATTTATAATGGAAAGGGAAATTCATATTCCTCTTTGTGGCTGTTTCCATTCATTTACCCTTTAAATTAGCTTTAAAGAGACTCCTAATTTATAGCCACCATTAAGAGAAAAAATTATATATGCTTGTTGATAACAGGCATAAAAAGTAAGTATTCTAGATTCAGGAGTACAGTCCTAAGAGCAAGTTTTCAAAATTACAACTCAAACTGCACACTGCTATTGCCACGGTTCTGTCACTTAAGAGAGGAAAAACAAGATTCATGAGTGCTACACTTAAAGCAAAATAATCGAGGGACTTCTGTTGTTCCACCACATCACCTAAGGGCTGAGACAGAAGAAACGTTCCGAAGGCTCTTCTGACAGAAAAAAAAGCATACATGCACTTCAACCAGACTAGAAATGCTTCTTTGGGAAGAATGTTGGTTTTCCAGAGCTCCACACACATATGCTTTCCCCACTGTATGCAAGCTCCTCTGTTCCAAACACAGCCTTAAGTTCTCAGCCACTGCCACGCTCCTGTGTGACAGCTGGAGCTGCCGTACCACATGCCAAAGCCAGTCCCAGCACTTACCAGCACTAAGCACCGAATTCTCTTCAACCACTTTGGAGACATAAGCATCGGGGTTAATACAGAAGTCACTGGAGCCCTAAACAAATGAAAGACAAAAGGGAAAAGGAATATCAAAAAACACCAGTATCAAAGAGCAGTTGAGCCAGGTTAACATCAGGGAACTCTCTGCTCTCAGGGTGTTTCAGAAGCTGAAGTCTCTCATCGTCATCCCCACTAGCACTGCTTTACACAAGCGCAGCAGTTACCAGCTAGCACACCACACCACGGAGGAAAGGGGAGCTCTGTACTTTTCATAGATGCAAATTGCTAGGACAGCTACTTAGAGCAAGATGCGCTATAAAACAGGCGCAGCGTACCATTAATCTTGTGTCTGATAAACCTGCAGCAAAGGGTGAATGGGACCTGGATCTGAGCCACTTACCACAGCGACAGCCAACTCCAGACCCAAGGATCCCCAGCTGACAATCAGGGCAAACACCCCCAGCAAGCACACCCTGTGGGAGACAGACAGATGGCAGATGTAGAAGCTCTGATTTCAAACAGATCCTTTCACAAGATGTATCATTTGGAGTCCAAAGCGATTACCAAAACCAAGAAACTGTCAACCACTGTATCTTCAGATAAACCAACCCATTTTATACATTGTGGACAGCACCAGAGAAGTTTATGTCCAGTAGCTGGTTCACACTTTACCTGGCCCTGGGGTTGCAGGGGAAGGAAGAAAAGGGTGGAAGCAAAGTTTTACCCTGCTTCTAGCAGGGAAAACAAAGGCACAAAGACAAAGGGGTGGCTGTAGGGAAGGCAGATTGAAAGATGGATAACTGCAATCCCGTCACTTCCACTATTCCCATTCTGGACTTGACTTTCTCAGTCCAAAGATATTCAGAGAAAAACATGCCAGATCAAGAAAAACCCACAAAAACATACTGATCCAAAATTGGGCAAATCTCTCCTGTTTCTGGAGTAAATGAGGTTGTCAGGTGTAAGCACTGCAGGGCTACAGACAGTGAGAGGGAACACTCAGCCCCTGTCAGGACACCTGACTTTGGTACCAAGCTGTGTGCACCTGAACAGCACTGAAGCATCCCACACAGCATCAGGAGAGAGACCCGCAGGCAAACAGTTCAGAGCAACAGTTTAGGTGCCCACCACTGCAATGCGAGTCCATCTCTGCACAGATTTCAAAGTTTTGTTCTGATAGCTGGACCTCGTTACCAACAGAAATAGTGGGAAATGTCTGCTATCAGGCAGACACAAGGCAGAGGGGTTGACAGAGCAGCGGTCTCAGTAACATTCAGCTAGCACACACCGATGGAAAAGGCTTTTGCACTTCCCCAACCAGCACATTAGCCCTTCACCTTTCCTGTCAGTATGAGTACAAGAGATACGTAGGCAAAAGTGCTCCCCAATTCCCTCAGGTATGGAGATGCAGACTAATAAGCAGTTTCATTTTATGTACCCCTGTCTTCAAAGTGAAGGGACACTGGCTTGCTCTCTCAGGGATGCTTTTTCCTTCAGGCTTTGAACACAGATAGGTTCCTCCCGCCCACCACTTGAAGAAGACAAAACAAAAACCTGTTCATAACTGAGATATTCTTTACTCAAACCTACTGCAAGCATCTCTTAAGGAAGGAACTTGCCTCTTTTCTGCTACATTTGTCTCGTTGAAGACTGGAGCTTTAAAAAAATAAATCTATGGGCCTACATTTAAAATAAATAAAAATCTATCCCTCAGTTTGCCAACTTATTTTAATTCTGAGTAATCCCCATTCTCTGAATGGATCTGTAGCTCATCTTGCAGAAGTAATGGAGCTTCACCAGACTGACCTCTGCAGCACTCTGGAATAAGATGGCTAAAGACTTTATTATGCTTTTTCCAAATGGATGCAAAAATTACCAGCCATGGATCAGCAAGGCTCTGCGGTTTTACAACATAAGGACAACATGATTTGGTGCCTCCAGCTGACGATGGTAATCAGTTCAATAAGACACATTTATTGTTTTACTTTAAATGAAGATGACTGAGTCAGTAACTGATTGCTTGGCTAAAAGATCTAAAACTGGCATTTCACCATCTTGCTTAGCTGTGATACACTTGCTTCTTTATGCCATGTGCTCCCTTTGGGGAATGCCTTAATATGAACTTCTGGCTAACGGGGAATGAGATTCTAATTTAAACCCTGGGTTTACCATCTGTGCATACACTTGGACTTTTGTCTGTATAACCTGCCAGGTATGAAGTCATCTGGCAAATAATAAATCTGAATTGCATTCCAATTATTAATGGCATCACCATGTACACCAGGATAAACTCTTGGCCATGTCAGCTGTCAAACTGTCACTGTGTTTGTGATACCAGTATCTTTGCCAAATATGCCAAGCTAAACCAAGCTGTAAGATAGGGAGAGGAATATTTTTTCTTGTAATGGGGCCTGAGCATGGCAACATTTGCAGTGCTTTTTAGAAATAGACGTGCATTAAAATTGTAGTACCATGGCAACAAGACTCCTCCTCATAACTGTACAAACCATTGCTTGTTCTCAGTTTAACATTTCTTCAGGTGTGACAGCCAAAGGTAAACAAGAACAGATCGTGACAAAAAAGCATGCTACCAGACACATGCAATGCTTATCATGGATTAACAAATGCCTTCAAAACTACAGAGAACTAAAGGGAGATTTTTAAAGCCTGTAAATTTAAGGGATAATGTTCATATTACTGTCTCCCAGAAAACAGGCTACCAATGCTACACAGCAAAAGGCAGACCTCCCAGATGAGTTCCCTGTCTTCAATGCAAAAGCAACAGACACCAGTACCATTGCATTTTATAGCTCAAGAACCCTCCTGTGAGCATCTCTCACATAGCCCTAATCTTATCCATAGAGCTACACTCTACAAAATCTGTCTATACCGAGTGGCAAATTGAAGCTCGTCAGTCTCAGAAGTCCTTGAAATCAGCTGACAAGAGACTAGAGGTTTACACTAGCAGGCACTTGCATTCAGCTGACCTTCCTTTATGCATGGTGCCTGCATCAGGACTTACCCCATAAGAATGGCCCTGGAGTTTCTAATGAGCCCAAAGAGCACCAGCAAACAAATCAGGACATGGAACAGGAGCAGGCCCAGGTATCCCAGCCACCTGCAGCAAAAAAAAAACCCAACACATAGTCTGCAAAGGAAAACTGGTGTATAAAAGGTACAGATCAAGAAGCTAGTATGACTCATGGGAAAAAAACGGAGACCTTGTGTTCAAATAAAAGCCACCACTAATGATTAATCTCCAGAGAGCTTTGGATATTTGCTGGGTCTGGAGTCAAGGCAGGTAAAAGCACTTACACAACATGCCCAGCATACACCGTTGTTGACAACACAACTGGACACCATCAGGTAAAGAACAAGCATTGCAGCTTCTTGAACTTCCTAGACATTTGTTAGAAAACACTTCAGTTATTCCACATGGGTGGAATAGAGGTTTTCTTTTGTGGAATACATTGGATGCAGTCTTTCATTGAAGTTTAATAAAAAGGAATGTTAGGGTACGGTATTAACATATGGAACTAGTTCAGTTTTCCACTCTATTTAGCCAATGTGTCATACAACTACAATGCACATAAGTTAGGACATTAGGACACAAGAGTAGCTATCTCTGTGGCTGTTTTTCTCCTCAGTGTTAAAAAAGCTACAGCTTTTGTACACTGAGAGTAAGTTTCCCTTTGGGTGGTGGTAAACACAGTTAAGAAAAAAGTTGTTGCCATGCATTTTGATTTAAATTCAATGCAGTTTTGCTGTAAGAATCAAATCAGCTCGGTGGGCCATGAACACCTGCAGTAATATATGCAGCCTTTGGCTCAGCCACCCAGAATACACACATCACTGTTGCAAAACAGGCCAAAATTGATGCCACAACCACCACACTACAGCATGCTACACACCTGTACCAGTCGTAGAGGTCAATCTGAATTGCCAGGTCCTCCAGAGACAGCTCTTCATTCTTCCAAAAGGGGATCTCAGTGGTTTGCCTGACCAGATCATCCAAAAGACCTTGCAGTTTCTGGACAATGTGCAGGTAGTCTGTCTGCTTTGTGAACATCTCCTCCAGGATGAGCAAGTTTGGTTCCACTGTTTGGTTGAGGGCCACTGCGGTATCTAACACCTATTGTACAGCAAAAAAAACCCAATAAAAATAACTAAAAGACAGGAAGTCAAGGAAGTAAAAGAGGATTCATCCTTACTAGCAAGTTACGGACAGCTCCTCCAGATTACCTACCAGTCCTTTGTCTTAAGAGGCTCAGACTGCTTACCCTTCAAAAGTAACTTCTAAGCATCTCTAAAGTAGATTGTTTGCAAGTAGTCCAATGACGGCATCTCAGCTGAGCCTTTAACACATGTACACATTTTGCAGCCATCCGGGTTGCAGAATGATACCATGAAATTAGAGGTAAGCACAGCAGCAACTGATTGTACTAAAATGATACATTTTATTAAGAGACTTGTCTGCTTTGGCTTGCCTCCTCTTCCGGGCGTGGAAGAGAGCTGATGAGAAGCTGGTTTTAAACCTAGCAAAGAGAAGACTTCACTTAACAAGCTGTGTTTGCTTTGATATTTTTAGAAAAGCTGAAGAAAGCACCACTCCATTAATGGAAATTTTAGCACATCTCTAAGCCCAGAGGCTAACAAAAAAAGAGGAAGAGACAGGCGCAGCCAGATTCAAAAGAAGGGGTGCTGAGCAAGTCTGCTCATTCCCACACTCCCCATTTGCTAGTGTCTCTCCCCTACTGCTTACCCGGTCTTGGACGCCTGCCACAGTGCGGTTTGCATGGCGTAGCGAGTACGTCAGCCGGTGAATGCCATCACTGGTCTCTCCATTCCCATAGAAGCCAACAGCAATTCCAGCACTGCGGTGAAAGAAAGCAAAAAAGGGTAGAGTTAAAGCTAAAAGGCAAGCTAGACAACACACGGCTTGCTACTACAGCACCCTTCATAGTCCCATCAGCACCTTCCACAGAAAGGGAAGCAGTGTGTCTCCACAAAGGGTAGCGGGGGTAGTCATGCTCCTCAGCAACCACTAAAAAAATTCACCTGTAAACACACCCCTGTCTTCCACACAGCCACCAATTCTCTGTATAGCATCCATATGAACAACAGTGGAACACCAGTCCTTCTCAGTGTGTAGGTTTCATTTACGGTCCAATAACGAAAATATGTTAGAGAGTTCAGATCTAGCCATGGGCAACCAGAAATCCAGCCAGCCACGTGTCTCTCCAGTGGCCCCTGCAAGAGCTACCATTGCTATGTCAGGAGGCACATGCCTTCTCTGGACATGAAATACAGATTGTTTTGTTACTTTTTTTTTTTTTTTTTTTAAAAAAAAGCAGAACACAAAGAGCTTGCATTGACTACTTCCCCATGGTGGTGGTTCCTCTAGATACATTATCCATGCCCTCTTCCCTACAAGTGAAATATCTACGAATATCATCTATCTTGATTTATCTTCCTATTAGAAGCATTTGTGTCGCACTGATTTAGAGTACTGGGAAGGAAAGCTTAATAACTTACTGGAACAAAAGGCTTATTTATTTTTAAAGCAAGTGAATTTCAAGCTTGCAGACACAATTCAACTCCAGCTGCTTAGCAAATTACCACTTATCAGCTGATTTGCCATAACTGTCCACACATATCAGTCTGCCCCAATTATGAAGTAAACCATATTAGCTTAAGCCTCACTTAAAGGAGGAAGATCCTGTAAATGAGTTGCAATCAGGAGATTATCTCATGCAAGTCAGTGATACCTCTTCTACTATGACATCCCTGCAGGAACTCACAGTTCCTCTTCCCAAACTCATTTTTTCTAATAATAGAGGAGCAAAGAACTTGTGAACTGGTCACACAACTGAACAAAGAGGAAACAAACGTTACCAAGACACAAATTTCCTATTCTCATGTCATGTTTAGCTTCAGAGCACCTAGGATCTTTTCTGGGAAAGTTCTCAAGACACCAAGGTTGAGTTTGTGATAGTGGAAAGGAAGATGATGGTGACGGTTTTGGTGTAAATCTAAAGATAGTCTGGATGAAACATTTATTTTCTTCACAACAACTCCGTGCTTGGGTTATAGCACTGCCCTCAGAGTTGGCTTGAAGGAGGAATAAAAGAGACAAGCCAAACAACAGCTTTCAGAACAAGTAAGTGTAGTGCCTTTGTTTAACAGGAAGGGTCACTAGAGGATATTAGGCATTCTTCACCACCACCCAGCTGGGAAATGAACCCAAGCCCAGATCTGTGGGCTTTGTCTAGATAACAGACCCTTGCACAGATTTGCTCTGGCACATACATCAATCTGCAGTCCAAATGACTGTTTCTGCTCTCGCTCCTCTCCTGCAGGAAGACAGCATCCATCCCTCCTTTCCAGGGTTCATCCACTTCAGAACCACTGGAAGCGGATCCACTATGAAAATCTGTGTCAGCCTCATGCTTTTTCCAACAATTGAATCTCCATAAATTATAGAGAGCTTGGCCCATAAAAGCCTCAGCTGAAGAGTCTTCTAGGGACAGGAGGCAGCCTACATCATATACAGAATGAGAGGCAGCAGATATGCAACTCTTAATATTTAGTACTAATGCAAGAAATCAGCCTCTTTCTTCACGAACACCATTCCTCAAACATTTTCCTAATGCAAATTATGCTGTTAATTAAAGAGAGAAAAACCCTATGCATTCCTCCCTGGTTGCAGCTATTATCAGAGCTTGATAAGATGCACAGGGGTGAAGGGGATAAAAAAAAAAAACCAAAATAAAACCCAACCACCACCACACACACCCCTCTCCCCCTGAACTAGAGAGATTACAGATCCAGAGTTACGCCCAGGATAAGGTAGCTCAGCATCCCACCGTGGCGGTTACAAACCTCTGGCTTGAATTTCCCCTTGTCTTATCAGAGCAAACAAATTCAGGCAGACCCTTTGATTCTCCTGAGTTTAACAGTTGTTTCTACTACAGACACCAAATAAATTCCAGAACATTCTTGACATTGAATATGCGTATCTGACCCCTTTTTAATTGGTGAGTGATTTTTATTCAGCCTGTTACAGCTACTAGGAGCCTATTCTTTCAGCAAAGGCTTGGTAAGTGCCCAAAACCTGCTGCGTGGCTCTCAGTATTCCCAGCACAGTAGCACCGTTTTGGTGGAAAAGACTCAGAAACAGCACTCCGAAGGAGCAGCAGTCATCTTGTCCTTAACGATCCAGCACAGGTATATTTGTCAGTTGACTCAAAGGTACCATTTATGAAGTGCTAGCAACTACAGGCAAGAGACTTGAAACTCGTTACCCTATGCAAGGCAGAACCACCCCAGCCGCCGTCCTCGTAGGCTTCCCGTCCAGCCCTGCGTGAACCACAGCTTCAGCTGCCCTTAACCCTCTAGGCACAGTTGCTATTAGAAAACACTAGAGCGACAGGAATTTGGATAAAAGCCATTGAATTCAAGTAACAATTCCTCTAGACATGCACATCACATTCACTGGAAACTACACATAAAGTATTAATTATTCCACTACTGCCCAGCAAAAGCCAGCTCTGCTTTCACACCTTCTACTAGCAAGAGCCGCTTACACAGCCATTCCTTCTCCTAGGAGCAAGCTGTACAGTTTTGTGGCAGCTCCCCTTTCTATCATGCTACAGAGGGAAGGAAACCATCCCCAAAGCCCAGGCTGGGGGCAGCTGCCCAGACCCATGCTGTGGCTGAGGAGGGGCAGAGCTGAAGGGCAGGCAGTGGGGGGGTAAGAGGAGATGAACCACTGCTGTTTAGTCTTCTGTTTGCATTTGGCTTCATCTAAAGCCAACAGTTGTTTCAAATCCCTGCCTACACACACTGGTATAAGTTGCTATTGTTTAAAGCAGATTTAAGGATTTGCACTAGTTTTTAACTACCTTTTATTTGATTAAAGGGAAACAGAGGGGCTCCTTCTATTTAAGCGCATTCTTTTAAAGTAAAAATAGATCAACTCGTCTTAACCCAACAGCGGTAAGTCCTTGAGGTCAGGACAGATCACATGGCTTCTTGCACAAACCCCAGGAGGCTCAGTAGCCCAAGATACAGCAGATCCATCTCCTCACCAGTACAGGATGACAAAATCATCGCCCAATGGGGAAGCCTGCATTTCTGTCACGCAGTGTGGATACAAAACCAGCATTCCTGAATGACACAGCTTTTTTCCACCCTAGCACCCTCTGGAAGATACTCCAACGCATTTTCAGCGCTTCTACAGGAAAGTCATCTCCGCTTCTGCTATTCTTGTTTCTGTCGCACTCCCCTCCCTAGCACACACACCCCTCTCCCCTCCTGAATCCGCACCATCCCATCCTCAGTTCTTCCTCCCAAACCTACCTTTGTCAGTCTCCTGTTGCTTCCACTAACCCCACCTCTCCCACGCCTTCTTTCTCACTCACATTTTAAAATAAAAATCTTAAAAAAAAAATAATAATAATAATAAAAAAAATATCAAGGCCATTTAAAAAGTTACTCCTGCTGTTCAATATTGCATTTTAAAAGCCACTTGGCTACTCAGTCATTTTGGTGAGTTTTAGTAAACCCACTTAGGTTGAGTCAAAAACCCACTGCACTCCTGAGATAAACATTATCATCACCAGTGCACACCCACAGAAACACACTAGAGACAGACCAGCTCTTCAGAGTTACATGACGTGAGGCAGAAGAGCAGCATGCCGTGATTTCTGTGTCTTCCTACAGATAAAACAGAGTGATGTAAAATTCTGCAGGTTGTGTACACACACTTCAGTATCACTTTTCAGCAAGACTCAAGAAATTCAAGTCTGGACAACAGCTTTCCTGTTGTTTATATGCAAGAGTCACATGGGCTTAGGACATCCCCTGATAAAGAACCAGAAAAGAAAAATCAAGTCTAATTCCAAACTGGCTTGCAACATGACCTGCAAAAAACCCCACGTTTTCTGGATTACACAAGGTATACATGAACAGCTGAGTGTTAATCTGATACAGAGAGCATATATATGCCGTCTGGTGGAGAAATCCTGCCGTTGTAATACCCACGCACACACAGCGAAAACCCCTCTGGGTATCCAGTCACCAGTCTGAAAAGATGAACGCTAGCCATTCACATCACATCCTTAGAAATGAATAATCTAACTACACCAAGTCATCTTTAATTACAGGGACTTCATAAGGAGAGCCCTTTTTAGACTTCATGTTCTCAGGAGGAATGTTAATTTGTCTGTCTAATTACCACCTTGCACTTTCGCACCAAGGGAAAGCGCTATTACTGGCACTTGAGAAAGCAAGTTTTCACCATCTATTTGTACCCGTTTCTTTCAGGTATCCTCTCCATGAAGCTTCCTACCCACCTTTGGAGCCGAGCTCCCTTCTGGGAGAGTTAGGGTCACTTAAGTGTAGATGAAATGATTTATAAGACAACTCCCCATACACAGAAACCGATTAAAATTGGTAAGGACTAGAAGAACTAAGTATTCAAGGAACAGTCTAGGCAAACCATTCCTGCAGCTTTGTGGCTAGAGCAACTGGAAAGAGTCATTAGAGAGATATTTTGTTGGAGGGCTCCTGTTAACCAGTTATGCCTTCCTGCTTTAAAAAAAAAAGCAGGAAATACTGAGTCATTAGGAACAAGTGATCCATAGTACTCAGCAGGATTCATAGTACAAACAGCCCTCTGGGATTAAGTACTACCTAGATAAGCATCTACTAGACACCGCTGGACTTAACCAGGGTTAACTAGTTCTCAGCTAGGAAGACAACAGTCCATTTCATGGTACTTGGACAAACCAGACCGGTTGCTGTTTGGAACCTCTCGCTGCTTCAGCATCCAAGCGACTTCTTTCCCCTTGCATCCCATAGTGCAAGCTGCCTCCCGGGTCAGCCTGCTGTCAGACAGATATTCAGAACAGCCTTATTCCCCATCACTCTGAAACAGAACAGCATCTGCCAGTCTGGCACTTCTGCTATGTGTAATGCACAGCTAGCATAGGATATATCCAGTGGACTAATCTTTAACTGTTGGTATCTAACTGGGACTTCCTGCTAGCACAGATTAGATTCTGTGCTTGTCAGAAGCCATATCTGCATTCCCAGCCAGACAAGGAGCACAGAACATCAAGAGGCACCAGTTTGAGAGCAGCTGGACATGACGATGCACTAAGAGGGGCAGAAAACCAATCTTGAGTTTGCAGGGGAGCGGCAGCACTCAGGCAGCCCCTTCACTCGTCATGGATGGCACCAATGTGCTATCACTCAAGCGTGCCGACTTCAGAGTGGAAATTCAACTCAATTAAAAAAAGTCAAGACAAATATTCATCCAATATCACTGTAGAATCAGGGAGAATCTTAGTTTCAAGGATACTCCTGCATTTAATACTTAGAAAAAAAAATGGTACACCAAGATGGAGAACCAATGGTTCGGATTTTGAGGAAGCCTAAGCAGTTTTCCAGCCTGCAGACTTGACTGGGAATTGCGTCAAGTTTACCAGAATTTATATGCTGACCTTCCAACTTTAAATTGTCTCACACATGCTCTGGGAGACGTGCAGAATACCTCCTTCTCACCCTTTCTACAATTAAAAACAAACACAACTACCACACTCTGCAGCAGCTGTCTTGGACACACATGCTGCATAACAATAGCTAACAAGAGCCTGTAGGAGCAGCACAACTATAAATAGCATCAGCTACAGCTTCTGTAAGAGAAGATTAGGACCACAGCACTTTCAGTGGATTGGAATGGATGCAGCTGAAGCTCCTGAGATCCCTAAAAAGAAAGGTAAATGAAGCTGAGATTTCTTCTTTGCAAGTTGTTCTCTGGTTTGCCTTTCCATTCCAGGCACCTATTTGCAGTCAGCAAAGCACAGAACTCCCTGCAAAGACAGCAATGTTGGCTAGTGCACTGCTCTCCTCCTCGACACTGAGCCCCTGCCTCTACAGGCAAATCCATCCCCAGCTGCTAAACTCACAACATAATGTCTGCTCTGCAGCGTTTGTTCCTGTACTTCAGGGGTTTTCTATTCTCACAAGTATGTGCCTCGAAAGAGCAAATACACAAAGGCATTAGTAGCACAATCTAGCCCTTGAACAGCTAAGCCTGGCCTTCAAGGAATAGCATGCTCACCTCCAAAAAGATCACAGGCCATATCCATCACCTATCAGCAGGTTAATACAAAAAGTGAACCACAAAACACTGCAAAATGCAGTCGTCTCGTTGTTATGACCTTCCTGAATAGGGGACTGATCCTGGACCTGCCAGCCCTGCAAGAGGGACAGCTAAGACCACCTGGAATCTTGGGCAAGAGCAGATGATGCTTGGAATTGGTAAGAAATGCAGTGCTCAATCTCCAGGCACACATCCATAGAGCTCAGAGTACGCATGCTGCCCAAGTCAAAACAAACCAAGTCCAAGGCTCCTTCCTAAAGTTTGCAAACATGTGTCTGCTTTCAGATGCCCCATCATTAACTTTCTAGGAAATGGGATCCTCATCTGTGTTGACTAAAGAAACCAAGCAACCCAGAAAATCATCAACAAAATGAGAATTCTCCTGTTTTAACTTCTTTTGCACTTGTTCTCCATCAATTACTTAATTTTTCTTGGTTTTCAGAAACACTTCTTTTCACCTCACCTCCAAAAGCTTCTATTGCTCAGTCATAATAGGAAACGTTGCTGACACGAGCACCATTACTAGCAACCCTTGGAGACAGCACATTAGTACAGATAAAGAAATGCAGTAGTGTCTTACACAGGCTGCAAAATCTGAATGGCCACTCCAGTGAAATACCAATACTTCCAAAACCAAAAGAATCATCTGTGCCTCTTTCCTCCTAACCTACTCTCCCACATGGTCATTCTTTCTGGACACCAGATTCTAAGAAATCTCCATCTAGACCTGATAAATATTTCAGCTATATCCATCGTATTTAAGTGATAAGCTCCCGAGGACACAGTGTCCTTGATTTACCACTTGCAAAGTATCAAAGAGCAAGTCATTAGCTATTCCTTCTCACATTGCTCAAACCATCAGGCAGTTCAGCCAAGTGGCAGAAAGGAAGAAAATACATTACAGATATTTAAAACATACATATACCAAGTGGAAAGAAGGATTACTGCCAACATTCATTAACTACAGACACGGCATACCAAGTGTGACAATGCACGCACAGGATACATCACCCCAAATAACAGGGAGGATCCCTCTCAGGCATCGACCGTACCTGCACACCAGGGTTGCGATGATGACACACCATGCCGTACAGCAGCAGTCAGCATTTAGATGTTCTTCGCCCTTCCGATGGCGGCAACACAGCCAAAACGAGTAGAACAAGAGAAAGAGCAGGTCCAGAGCGAGGCAGGAAAGAGCAATGCCACCCAACAGCAACAGGGCCTGCGGAAAACAGAGATGGTTGTCACATCTGGCCACGGCACAGCCACAGCAGGGGACATGAATCAGGGCCCAGATGTTGGAGGGCTCTGCAATAAGACAGCACTGAAGGCATACCCTGAAAACAAGTTGTTTTGTGGGTTTTGTATATCTTTTAAATATAAACAGGACATTTTTAGCACTGCTTTCTCCCCTCTCTGCATCCCACTTGATGAAACCACATTCTGTACCTAAGCAGTAAACAGCTGAGCCATTTTGTCTGTCCCAGTCTGCAAACAGCCTAAGTGAACCAGAGAGGGTTTCCTCTCTACTCCTGATCAGAGGTCAGCAGATTTAAAGGAAAAAAAAATAGTTCAGCCAGCTGCCTCTATCTGTACAGTTCTTTAATCTTCATGAATAAATATGCAGGCTTATTCATTAGAAATCCAAGTGCATGAGTGGGTTTGAAAGGGGGTGGAATTTAATTATACACGCGTGAGATTGATTTTTAAAAAAATGAATCCCCATGCAATGCTTCTGTTCAAGGTAGACCTAGAATAAGTGCTAAACCCCACCATATACCATCCACATATATAGGTACAACAAACGCGGATGCTACAGACACACTAGCTTGAAGCCGCCGCAAGCTGATTTATTGTGTTATACCTATTTCTAGTCAGATGTTTCTGAGAGGAAAGGGAAGCAATAAGTACTTAATTCCGTTTCATTTAATTCCATTCCAATTTCTTTTTATTTGGAAAATCCTGGCTGAAATCCAAAAATGCAAGACAAATTTGTTAAATAAAATAGTAATAAAAAAATTTTTAAATCCATTCTAACATCAAATCCAGCCATATTTTCCCATGTGAATGAAGCAAGTAAAAGGATGTTGTTTTATCCATAAGCTTTTTTTGGATAAACCCTTGGTAGTGGGGACAAATGCCAACTTTAGACTAGAAGTGACTTAAATATCTGGAAAGGGCCTAAGTCACCTACTGCTGCTTCAATATTGGGAAGACAGACATGGATCTGTATCAGCAAACTTAAGACAAAGGTCTGGGTTTTTTAAATCAGTATCTCTTTTCCTCCCCATGCAGAAATTCCTTAAAGACCATTTATATGCTTCCTCCCGATTGAAACAATAACTTCCTCCTGGTCAAAGAAATAAAACAAAGAATGCTGTGATTAAAGTCAGATTCTCAGCAAAACTGGTGACTGTTTTTAACAGAGTCTGGTAGTAACTTGCTCTTCGTAGGCTTTGCTTCCCCTTCTTTCCCCCCCGGTCTGCTCCGTAGGTACTCCCTGCTGAGTTATTACCCTGGGAAGCTATACAAGCCGCACAACATACTTTTGAGCCAAGCAAACGTCAGCGTGTACAGACTGTAAGGCCCATCGGCCATACATAACGAGATTCACGCTCGTGAAATTTAACTGCTGCATCACAGATACTCCACGTAGCCATGTGCCGTTTGCTTTCCCAGCCTTAAGGAACCCACCCAAAGCCCTTCAACCGCACTGGGATGGGGGGGGGAGTTTACAGGTGCTGCTTTCCCAAACTAAACAGCAGAAACCCGGTCCCATTGTAGGAAGTGAACTTCGGGATCTTTAACAGAGAAGAGTGGGGGTGGAAGGGAAAAAGCCCTCTCCCCCTTTCCCATGATTATGCCAGATGGTGTGTGCGCCGTTTGAGTTCCTGAGCAGAAAGGGGCCTTCGAGAGGGAAGCTGCGTTTGGAGCCCCACGTTCTCCCACTTCTGAAGGCTTACCATGTACGAGCACTCAATACTAATTTAACTAACACATTCGGCGTACCAAAGCTCCTCGGGGATATTCTTTATTTTTTAAACACGTCAGGCTGCTGCAATGCAAAGCTTTCCTGCACTGCTTGCCCTGCGCTTCTGTCTTCACGCCCTCAACCTTCCTTGCACACGCTAGAAGGCATTACCCCTGGAAAGCCAAACCCAGCTGAAAACACCCTCCCAGCAACTCTTTATCGGCAAAACACTCACATCACAGCTCCAGATGTAGGGGAACAACCCCCATTAAAAGGAGACCATACTAAAAAGAAAAAAAAAAAAAAAAAAAAAAAAAAAACACAAAAAAAAAAAAAAAAAAAAAAAAAAAAAAAAAAAAAAAAAAAAAAGACTGCCTTGCAGCAAGCAACCTGAAGTTCTTGACACTTAATATATGCTTTAATTTATGCATCTGGCCAAAAGGACTTGGCTGGCCACTGCACCATGATCTGTGTTTCATTTTCCAGAGAATATTTGTTTTCCATTAATGGACGTGTGCCATGACAACAAGTGAAATCATCCAGCAGAGCAGTTATTAATCTTTCTGACTGATGAGTCAGTTTAGGACCCAGAGACTGGCTGGCAGGGAAAGCCTGGTCGCAACCAAAGATATGCCTGTGCCTGCTTGTCTGCATTAAATGACAGTCTTTGGAAAAGGGGGGTTGAGGCTGGATAAACCCTCAGACACTCTATCCTGCAACAGTAAATCTGGGACTCGGTTATCCAAGGCCACGTTATCCCGAGTAAGTGTAAAATTATGCACTGGGCCTTTTGCCACAAAAGAGCATCAATTTGTCTTTGAACATTTGCTGAGCTATCAGAACCTTTATAGCAAATGATGCATGAACTGCCCTTATAGGAAAATGGAGACAACTTGGAGGAGCAACATTTTACCACTGTGCTGACACTAATGGCAGAAGTGGAGACAGAGCAGTCCCTGAAAATGAGTGTAAATCCAAGTGGTATCAGCCAGACTGGCAGGAGATGAAGCTACAGTTTCAAAATAAGAGGTAATAGCAGTACCCAGGGAAGTAACCACGCGCAGCATCGCTAGCTTGGAAAGGCACCGTGAAGCCTGAATACGCTCAGTCTTGTGCAGGGACAGTGCTTGACAGTCTGCTGCAGCGTTAATAGCCTTTTTCAACTCCAGCACAGTTGCCAGGATTCATGGTATTTGCTCCCTCAATGGGACTAAGAAGCCAAAAAAGGGGCAGAAAATATTGAGGTCCCCATGCACAGAGAGGGGCACAATCACAATAAGAAACACAGGGCACAGCAAAAAACATCTCCTGCAAAAATACCCAGGGCTGGTTAGTTCTTCCACATGGTATATATATATATATATATATATACACACACCCACATAAATACCCATAGGTCCTGATATTATACCTAAGGACATATATGTAGATCAGCCTTCAGTTAGCACAATCTTTGGTCTCCAAGATCCATGCCTTATGTTACTGTAAATAGATTCAACAGATATACTTGTACGGAAATTTTTCATCGAATAGACAAGACAGCTGTTTTCAGCTCTCAGACCTCAAGTTCTAAACTGCAATCCACAGGGTTAGTTACCTGAACGTATCTCTGATCACTGTGGTCCTGGAAAGCTAATTTTAGCTGTTGAAACTGTGCTTAAGGGGATGTATGCTCCATCCCATCCTACATATTCAGTCACAAAGAGAAGTGATCTACATAATGTGAGAAAAGAATATACAAGATACATTTGAATATGTTTCCTTAGAAGGGAAAGCCTAAATAAAGCCACAAAGCATTGTAACGCAGGAGGTAAGTGTTGGGTTGCATTCATCAAGGTTTAGCACTGCCTTAAGTGCTGTTTGTTCATCACTTGACTGTACAGAGGAGCGTTGGCTTAGGGACACCTCCTCACCCCACTACCTCCCCTCTGCCATGAAGGTTACTTGGCACAAGTCCTGGCAGCAGAACAGGTTTAGAAAGTTAATTCTGAATGCACATGGGTTCAAAATAATGCATGTGTTTATTAAGTACAAGTTTATTAAATAATACATGTGTTTATTAAGTACAATCTCAACCCATCCAACTTCCAATTACTACACTCTTTAGACCTTAAGTGTACTCACAGCAGCACAGCACAGTGAGCAGCTCTTCACATGGAATAGGTGATAGCAGTGCTATCCAGAAATAGCTATTTTACTACTAGTTAGAAAGTCCACTAAAAACTCATTGAGAAACTTGAGAGCAAAGCTGAAGCCTTCAGGTGGTTCCTGAAAAGCATGCAGTTTTGCTTTTAATCTCCCATCAATAATTTTGAAGCTATTTCATCTTAAAACTTCATAATTTCAACCCACAGGACAAAATAGCTACAGCTTTTGAGCATCTCAACAACACAGCTGTCTTAATCATTGCCAGATTGAGAACTGGTTATAGTTTTACCTTAAAGTTAGCTTTTGCCAAAAGAAAGCTTTCCACTGAATCTGCAACTAAAGTTCCTTCTGGATTTCCATGCAGTGACTTGAGATGTGATAATAAAACAGAGAGAAGAGGTTAAAAGAGTGTGGGAAGAGCAAAACGCTCACCCAGAAGAACAAATGAAGCAAACTGGGCTGCTGCCAAAGGAGCACTCATCTCTATTTGTTCCACGAAGGACGGAAGCCTTCTTCGCAAGAAAAGAAACTGCTGTGGGATAGTCTCATGCCTACACTCCTCCTACACTGTTTTTTTGCAGACTTCAGGACGTCTCTAAGAAGCTTACGTACTCGTAGATAAGTAACTATGTGCTACCAAACTGCTGGCAACACAAGGAACACACACTGACCCCCTCATCAACTTATGCTGAACATGCTGTGTGTTCAGAGACTTGATTTTCATTTCTGAAAAGTGCTGTGCGTGGTGTTTGTTGAGATACTTAAGTGTCTCAGGATGTCATTCATCCCACAGCCTCTACAGAAGGATGCAGGCTTTGGTGGGGAATGCAGCCAACCACGTATTGGCAAATGTAATGTGGGGGGAGGATGTGGAAATCACTGCTGATCTCAGCACTAAACCATCCATATCTCCTCTGCCCGGGGGACAGGCCTTCCCAGGCCAATTACTGTACTTAACACAGTAGAGGAGGAAGGCTGGACAGGAAACGTGCTGTGGAAGAGGCTTTTCCCACGGTACTGAGATGTATTCTCCTTCATGAGGGATCCCTCAGCAGCATGGAAGAGCACCATGGAAACAGAGGACAGGTTCCCCTGTGTCATCTCCTTATACAGACATTTCCCAGAAAAAGCATGCTGCTAAGGGAGTGCAGTAGATTTTGTATATATATTTAGGACAAGTCCACACTGGAACAAGCAATATAGGCCAACGCTTTGCCTTTAGCTTTTTTTGGCTATTGGCTTTCCTTTCTGGAAAAGAGAAAATGCCAAGGATTATGTCATGCTTTTTTTTTTTTTTTTTAAATCACCTTAAGACAACACAGCAGACACATTAGAATAAAACAGTTCTGCAGTTGAAATACATCCTAGCACGACTAGATAGCTCAAACCTATTTAACCAAGTCGGTTAAATAAACAGGCTAGCCTCCTCAACACTGAGAAGCTATCTACACAGGCAAGGGCATTCCACAGTTAATTGGTATTAGAGCTGTGAACTAAAGCCACTTTAATTACAAATGAGTGTGCACACAGGGTTTTAATGTAGTTTAACTAGAATGGCCTTAATTCAGTGTAGTTTAATTCACTTTAGTGCATTTCAAGTGGTTTAACTAATCTGCTTTGAATTTATTCCTCCAGTTAATTCAGATTAACTTCTCAAGTGCCCTTGTGCAGGCAACGACTGAGAACAAGGCTAGGTTGATTAAAGATTCATCATCATTTCCTCCATACTAACATTCTGACCCCTTATTTCATAATTAAAGACTTTCAACACTGCCTTTATATTTGGTCCAATTCACAGAAGCCACGAGTGCAGAGGCTGAAGAGACATGACCATGCTGACGCTTGGCTTATGGCAGCAACTAACACGCAATACAGTCATTGCCAGAGTTTTGAGCTGTGGTTAAACAATATTAGTGCAGGAACATCTGCACACCTCAACTTCCACAGGTTACACGGGGGGCAGGTGCTAGAATTCATCAGAACATCTCATCACAAACTAAAGAGATGGAAAGCACAGAGTAGAAAGGATTTGCTTAACAATTGGGTTGGATTTTTTTTTTCTGCCCGTGAATGCAGATCTAAGCCGTGCTAATCAGCAGTGAACACTGGAGTCCTATTGGGTTGAAGTCAAATAACAATCCATTTATTCCCTTAGCTGTTACCAACTCAGCAATCTCCATCTTACACAGCAAGGAAACATTCCCAGAGGTACGGGGGTCCTCTAAATTGGATGTTCTTATCTCTAGTTTCTCCATAATGCTGGCTGAAAGCCTCTATGTGCTACAGCGATGAAAAGAATGAGACACTCTCACCAAATTCAGTTTCCACTGACAGGTCCCCACAGACTAAATCTTTATTAAATGAGGCTTAGCTCAAAACTGGCAGCTTGTCAAATGAGCATTCTCGCTGAAAAGGCGGATTTCCTTTCTGGGGATTCTGCAAATTCCCTTGCAGGGCTCTAAAAAAAAAAAAAAACCACCACAGATGAATCAGTGTTCATGCAGGTCTTTGCCCCAAATCCCAGACCAGCAAAATGTGTAA